AAAATCCCCGAAGTAAATGAAACTTTTAATGGGAAGATCATCTGTAAATACGGAACTTAACTTATTAACCACTACCCTCTGGTTATTTTACACTTACCTACCGCTATTGCTATGGAAAAAAGTTGCCCATTCCATTAAACATGGTGATATATGGTCATTGATCATGTTCATTTGTTTTCCAAAGCTACTTTAAATCATAGCTATCATGTTCTACTAGATGGTAGTGGCTTAGTTCACCCTCATTATAAGTTCACTAACCCTGCTCACCCTACTTATAACTGCGGTCAAAGATGCCGAAAAGTGTTTCTAGGATGTTAGTTCGATGATGTTTCCTCCATCACTTCTAGGTTTCCAACTGTTCTATTTATTTTGGGGTTGCTACATGGGACTATGAGGATATAAACCAGCAAAGTGTGGGGATGTACTATACAATGGGATGTAATAGAATGTAATGTTGATAAATGTGGAAAAGAAGCATTCAAAGCCAGTCAGCTATATACTAAATATTAGTTGGTTGGTGGTTGATATTAGTTAATGTTGCTTAATATTGGCTAATGTTGGTTAAATCGAAAACCATCGAAATCCAAAAGTTGTGGTAAAGGTCGGTTATGTAGAGTACACCAAATGTTCATGAAATTATCATTTGAGGATCAATGATCTGCGGGTTTGATTTGTATTAGTTTGAGAAATCTGCCAGCTGCAAAATTTTGGGGGCCACCACCCTTGTTCTATGGTTTGTATACCACAAAAAAGCCATGTCCAACTCCCACTGGTTGGTGATTTGGAACATGAATTTTATTTTTCCATATATTGGAAATCATCATCCCAACTGACAAACTCATATTTTTCAGAGGGGTAGGTATACCACCAACCAGCCCAGATCCACAGCGTTTTGTCACCGATGTTCTCGATGTTCTCGGCAGGATTGGGACGAAGCGCGCTTGAAAGCCCTCTGTGCCCGACACGGCTGGGAGTTCGAATGGATGACGGAGGAGCGTTGAACTAACAGCCTATGAAAGTGTGCCATTTCGCGGCCTGTTGCGCAGAAAAATAGCAGAAAATGTGATGAAAATGTAACATGATATATATGGGAGTTTCTTAAAATGGGGGATGGAAGATGCAAGCATTAGGATAGCGACCTCAAACAAGCACCTCCCATAATTGATGCATATGCTAAAGGAAACACAAGGAAACCATCAAGTTCATGCTCCTAAGTTTGAAATCTCTTCACCGCAGAGCAAACTACGAACTCGAATTTCAGTTCAAAAAATGCAATGCGTTATTAACCGTTATTATGTTCGATTCTAAGTGTGGAATATTATCCCCATGGATAAAAGCTACTTAACCCGATTTCATCATACCCCAAATACTTTGTAAGAAGCTCTCAAGCCCCATAAATCCTACCCCAAATACTTCCTGAGAAGGTACAACTGTATCCATAGAGTATATATAGGAGATATTGTGGTTGGTTGCGAAATCCTACCTTGGATGGTTGAAACATGTTGAAAACCTATAAATCATAGTAGCAATCCATACAGGATGGTGCACGTTATGCGAATGTTGGTTTCGTTTCACCCCATGTATAAGTTGGTTTAGTTTCACCCCATTCACTTAGTTATGCCTACCATAAACATCCATTTTTACCATAGAATTCAGCCACTTCCGCCCCAGGATGGAGAGCGGCAACGTCGCATCGAGGGAGCTGCACGGGCAAGGTGGGAAACGATATGACACCGCGGTTGTGTCATCAGCTCTCTGGGGAAATCCCCGACCTAAATGGAGGTTTATGACTGGGAAAATCATATATCTGGTTGGTGACTGGAACCATGGAAATTTATGACGTTCCATTCAGTTGGGGAATTTCATCATGCCAACTGACGAAGTCCATCATTTTTCAGAGAGGTAGGTATACCACCAACCAGATACAAATGAAGGTTTATAGCTGGGAAATTTGTCTCTCAGCAGAGGCTTTAATGGGAACATCATCTGTAAATGAAGATTTATAGCTGGAAAAATCATGTATAACTGAAGGTTTTAATGGGAAATTAGCTTTAGTAAAACGTGAGTTTCCTTCTAGTAAACCTTGGTAGATGGTACTAGTAGGTGACAAGGGGTTGTTCTTGGCCATGGGTTGGAAAACACGCTAACCAGTTGATTCTGTTGTTTTTCTGGCAGGGTATCTAAGATTATTCATGGTTGTGGGAAAACCACAACAAATCCCTAAGACACATGCAAAAACTGGGTAAGATATGTATAGATATGTACATGTAAGATCAATACAAAGTCCCTTTCAAGCAGCAAATGGGCTACCAGATGCTACCAGTTTAAAGCCCACATCCACATTTCGGATGAACACGCCATAACAGCTATGTTTTGAGTCAAATGTCAACAGTGAATGTTGACGGCTGATGTGACTGATGTGTGGTTTCCTTAAATTCAGGGCCTGATTGGTTTCGATTGATTCATGATATTTCGACATGTTTCCAAAAATGGGCTTCATGGAAAGTATATCTATGGTTTCACCACTCAATTTGGGTGAAAAATACATGGTTTCATGGAGAATCTATCGGAAAACTATGTTAAGTATTGATGAAGTCAGACCCCAACAGCCCCCAAGCCAGTGGTTGGTTCTCCACCACAGCTTTCAGAAAACCTGGCAGGAAAGAAGCCAAGGAGGGACAGGATGTCAATTCCAAGGTGCAGATCTGGGATTTGGATCTGAAAAACTGCTGTTGATTGAAGATTGTGGTTGTACATATGATCTAGGCATCATTTATGGGTGGTTTCATGGGGGTTTCAACCATCAGACATATGGTGGTATGCTATTATACAATGTTTGGATGGTGCTTCCTTGATTATTGTTATTATAACAGAATAGAATATATATATAAATGAATGTAGTTCGGGGTTATACTAGCCAATATGTATAAATAAACAAATAAATAAATGAATACATAAATAAATAAATAGATATAATAAGTATATATATATATATTATATAACCTTATTTATGTGTATATATATATGGGATTGTCGCAATCCATGAGCCAGTAAATCCTACCAGTACACAAAGTACGACAGTGGTAAGGCAGATGGTTTTGAACACTGCCCGAGGGTTTTCTCAGTTACTCAGCAGCATTTTAAAGCCCGCTGGAAAGTGTCCATCCAGCAAAAGGGAGGATGATCACAGCAATGTGACAAATCCACAAGCCAATGAATTTTACCAGAACTGAATGGTATAGAAGTATAGACCTAGAAAAAAACATAGCTTTCAGAGAGATGTTCATATAGTATTCCATCTCATTTGTTATGATACAAATGTATAGTATTCCCATTCTTTTCTCCTGAACTCCCATGAATTTTGCCCCATTTCTTTCTCATCATCTCCCTGATTTTCTCTGTGATTCTCCCATAATCGCCGTGAGGCCACCCGCTCCCAACTGCCCGGCTGGTGGCGCTTGGATTCCATGGCCAAAGCCTTCACCTTTCAGGCACAAGATCAACAACAGATGCCTGGAGCAACAGCTGGGAGGCTGACATTTTTGGGGGAAGATGAGTTTCCTCCACGAAACAATGGAAGATGAGTTTGGGATGGAAGATGGTTAAAATTCCTGGAAGATGAGTTTCCAGTCATGGATCTAAAAAGATGTTTGTTGTTTTCCCCCTCAGGGTCAAAGAGAATCACTTCACTGGATGGTAAATGATCGTTGGGAACGTGCTTTTTGACTCCAACAGGACTAGGTCAGAGGCGTATCATACTTGCACACGGTGGAAATTCTACCCTTTGGTAAACTAACATAGCTATTGAAAATGGCACATTTATAGTGGATGTACCCATTGAAAATGGTGATTTTCCACAGTTATGTTAGTTTACCAGAGGGCAAATGGAGGTTTTAATCTGGTTGGTGGTGACTGGAACCATGGAAATTTATGACGTTCCATTCAGTTGGGAATTTCATCATGCCAACTGACGAAGTCATATTTTTCAGAGGGGTAGGCTCAACCACCAACGAGTAATGTAGTGTTGTCATCCCACTAATAAATGATATCCACATGATGTCCACTTTTTCCACGTCATCCCACTATGACGTCACAATGTGAATATGATCATCGCACTAAATGGGTCATTTTCCGTAGCTATGTTAAATAACCAGAGGATATCTTTATTTGAAAATGGGAGGGGAGTTTCCATTGCCATATTCGATCGCTCCAGGGTATCCATGGTAATATTGGGGATGCTGTGAGGCGTTGGGCTGGGTTTACCACAGTACTAACCCATATGCTCCATGGTGCTGGAATATGCACACCAACATTTGCCCGAACAAAATCACCCAGTTTCGTAGGTAAATATACCAGCACCACGGTTCGCATATGGGTAATGCGTCAAATATCGTCAAACATGTTTCATCAATTGCATGTCATTGCGCTTCCCCATTTGAATGGTTAAGGATGATTAAGGCCCCAATTTACCAAAGACCACCTTGGAAGATCATTTCGTAAAGCATGTTTTTTACATCAGACATACCCATATGCTCCGTGGTGCTGGTATATTTACTTACAAAACATGGAGCATATGGGAGATGGAAGATGATGGAAGTATTTGAACCACAGACCTTCAGTCCATCTCCAATTTTTGATGTGTTCAACATGATTCCATGGTGACCCGTCGAAATTCACGGATGACGACTGTGCAAGCCGTGCCATTTTCTCCGATTGCCCAGGTTCTTGGACATCCCCATTCGCCTCCAGAAAAAAAGAAAGATGTTTTTCCAGAAAAAAAGAAAATCAATAAGAAAAAGATGAATTACTTTCCTTCGAGTGATCCCCACCATGACATTTATATATATACGGTTTGTTACTGGCAAATCTTCTGGCATTCTATCTGACATATCTTCTGGCATTCGATCTGGCATTCTATCTGGCATATCTTCTGGCATTCTACCTGGCATATCTTCTGGCATATGTTTTGGCATATCTTCTGGCATTCTATCTGGCATTCTATCTGGCAAATCTTCCGGCATTCTATCTGGCAAACATTCTGGCACCACTGGACCTCAACGGCCAGATAGAATGCCAGAAGATGCCAGAAGATATGCCAGATAGAACGCCAGATAGCATGTCAGATAGAATGCCAGAAGATATGCCAGATAAAAAAGCCAGAAGATATGCCAGATAGAATGCCACAAGGTATGCCCACTGCATGCGGAAGTTGGGGAAGAGTTGGCAAGGCGGAAGTGGACATGGAAGTGGATGCAAAGGTGGTGGAGGAGAAGCTGGAGGAGAGGGAGGAGGAGGAGAAGGAGGTGGAGGATGAGGAGGCGGAGGCGGAGGAGGAGAACAACTGTGATTAAATCTAACAAAATTTCTAACAACCCTCACCTGGCAGGTGGGGAAAAAAAACGCATCGAACGACAGCCTTGAGCCATCTTGAGCCTGGGACAATCCTTCAGAAATCCTGAGGAAGCGGAAAATCGCCCCGCCCCCGCAGTTCAAGCCGAAGTGCCTCGGTTTTTTTCCAGGTGGCGCAGGTGGAGCTGGGTAATACCGCGGGAAACCCAACAATACACCATCATCTGGTTGGTGGTTTGGAACATGAATTTTATTTTCCATATCTTGGGAATGTCATGATCCCAACTGACGAAGTCCATCATTTTTCAGAGGGGTAGGCTCAACCACCAACCAGATAATAAACTACTACCATTTGGGGATGGTTTATACCACCCAAAGATGATGTTTATCAGCAAGGGCTTGTCATATGTTGAACATTGGCCAGATAACTAACGTTTATAATGTGTAAAAAAATAGTATCCAAGATTAGCCATGCGAAAATCAAGATACTGGAAAATCATGATACTTCATAGCCTTTTTTCCGTCTAGACATTTCTCGGATTATGCAATGTAGATGATATATTAGATCATACCCAATTTCATCATTCGAACATCCATTCACCTGTAGAGATCCAGAGATCCAGGCAGCTAGCGACTCTGAAAAGCATGAGCATGACCAACATGGAGACGTAACGATCCTCACCATGGTGACATGATTGCTTGCGATTGGTCAATCAACTGGATGGGTAGTTCAATCCTTTAGTCTTTTGGTATCAATGGGATTATCTATTAACTTTGGATGTGTCACCTAATCACTAGTTGGTACCACACTATGGTGACTATGGACATGAAAGCAGCAAACCTACCCCTTGGCAAACCAACACAGCTGTAAAAAATCACCATTTAATATTTAATTAAGTAAAAACAACGATAAATGGGCCATGTTCAATAGCTATGTTAAATTCCCGGAGGGAAGTGCTAAAACCTACAACAAATGTAGTTTTTTGTTTAGCCACAGGACTTCCGACTGAGTCATGGTTTTTCGTTATTACATCACCAGCGGGATCTGCAGGAGCTGATGCAGGGGCCAACTCATAGGCGGAGTATGGCGGAAACTCCAATGTTTTCAAGAAACTCCGCAGTTTGATTGCTTGCCAATGACCCAGTTGGGCAGTGAACTGGTGAAATATGGTGAAATCCCAAGTTTTGATCCAAAATGCCATGGCATCTTCTACATGCAAGTTCACAAGATGTTTGATTGTTTGTATGTATAAGTTTGCCGAGACTCAATGCACGCAATGTGGCTTCCTTGTAAGACATACTACCCCGTCGAGGTTGTCCAGATTATATATCCAAATTTATCCAACGAAGATGGGGGGGTTGCAAAACCACCGCCGGTAAGTACTAGGAAAAATGAAGAAGTTTGATTCTCCACGTTCATGGAAGTTGTTTGTATAATAGATAGGTAGGGTAGATAGATGTATCGATATATCCGTAGATAGTAGATTGGACTAGATTAGATTGGATTAGATCAGATTAGATTAGATGAGATTGATTGATTGATATCTTCGATAGGGTAGATAGGCAGGTACGTTGATAGATGGATACACACAAGAGAGAAGTTGTACGGGGTACCAGCACATTTGGATTCAAAATCCGTGGTTTCCTTCATATAGACTTTCATCTCGTCCAATGAAATGTCTATTGCAGTGAAATGACCAATGCTTTAGCTGTTTTCAATTCTGACAAGTTGAAATATTTGGTTAAACAGGAAGGCATCGCAGTTAACCCAGCAATTTTCACTACTATAATGATAAGTATAACCATTATCATTATTCTTCCAGAGATATTCCCCAACAGTTCATGAACATATGGAAAACCCAATGGGTTTCCGTTCGGAAACTGAGCTACGGTTTTTCCATATCAATGTTCATTATCATGTGTTCCATATCTATGCATTCTATAATATTCTATATCTATGTTTATCCATTCTCTATAGTTTGTCCATATCAATGGCTTTCCATATCGTCTCTGCACTTTAGAGAACATTTCGCAGCAGAGATAATAACAATGAGACAATGGTGGAACCCTAAGAGACAGCATGGTTTCCTGTTAATGTTATCCAATGGTTTCCTGTTAATGTTTTCCAGTGACAGCAGCACTTTCCGCAGGGTTCCATTGGTCTCTGCGGCTTTACCCCAACTGGGCTCAGATCCCGGCCGAGCCTTCCGCTCTGAACCGGAGCGGCGGTGACGCCAGAGTTGCGAAGGGGCGAACGGGCGCAAGCGGCGCCAGAGTCTGACAAAAGTGGAACGGAACCATTCACTCATGTGGGTCAACCTTGGTTAGATACTAGCTAAAATTTTGCTAAATTTTGACTGGCAATTATCTAAGATTTACATAGATTTATGTGGTAAAGTCAATCAGAAAACATCCCCAAAATCACCATAAATGAGGGTATTAGAATAAACCACCCCCAAATGGTGGGATTATGATTATTTTTGACATATTGGGTTTCCCACATTGCATAGTGGGACCCCCAAACGTTATAAGTTCGTTTGTAAGCCCATCTAACTATCGATATATATATATATATTCCATAAAGTCTAGATATTGTAGTTATAAACCAACATAGTTATCTTGGGGGCCCAAACATTGTAAAGTTCCGAAGCATCCAATTTTTCGGCCAGGAATATATATATATATATATATTAATTCACACGCACACACACACACACATATATATATATACAATTACATGTACAAAATTATAAGTTGCACCACGTCATCCCCAAAAAAAGTCGTTGTTGGATTTGCATCTATCGATGCAAACAACAAGTTCTAGTGTTAGATTCAATTTTTTAACTGTCCCAATTTTATACCCTCTGGTTATTTGACATAGCCATGGAAAATGGCCCATTTATGGTACAACTATGTTAAATAACCAGATGGTACAACTTGAAATTTCTTGGCATACAGCGATTTCAGCCACGGAACCCTGCCCTGTTCGCAAGTCTCACTTGCCTCGACTTGATTGGATGTCCATGGGCTAACGGACCCATGCTGTAGCTGGCAAATCTTGAAAACGGATCGCAACCCGTTTGCTGTGCATCCTATGGTTGGTATGTGGTTGACAATCACGCGAATGCGGTGAACTCAGCTTGTAATGCTTTATGTATATGTATATATAATTACACGCACACACACACATTTATATATATATATATACAATAACTAATCTTGATGTGTTCTTCTTTGTTTGTTTGTTGCGTGTCTGCCTCTCTGTCTGTTTGTTTGTCTGTCTGTTTTTTTGTTTGTTTGTCTGTCGGTTTGCATATATACGCACGGAATATACATATATCATATATTCATATATCATATATAACTGGTTGGTGGTTTGGAACATTTTTGTATTTTTCCATTCAGTTGGGAATTTCATCATCCCAATCTGACGAAGTCATATTTCAGAGGGGTAGGTATACCACCAACCAGTAAATAATGCCCAGCTGGAACTTGAGGCTAAGAAAATCGCCACTGGAATGCTTTCACCATGGCAGCCACAGCAGCCTCAAAGATGAACTGCCATACTGCCATCCTAGCATGACTGGGGGGACCAACCAATCCAAGCCATAAAAGTGGTGATAAAAAGCTGATGGTTTCAAAAATTGTGGCCACAGTACTCCCAGTTCTTCAGCAAAACAGATCGCTCCACCGGGCTTGGAGCCCCAGTTTCAAACTTTTCCCAGCAGGTTGCACAAAGCTCCGATTTTTGTATCGCTCCTCGCTCCTTTTTCGACCATGGCCAGTGTGGGATGAAGGACGGCGAAGATCTCGAGCAGCCACTGTTCCGGCCCAACATTTTGCAGCATGGTTTTGTGGAGGGGGGCCTGTGGGATGGCTGGTAACTGATGGTAACTGGTAACTACAACTGGCTAGAAAAAACGGGTTTAATAAGTTAAAAACCAGAAAGCAGTTGACCAGTCCAGCCCGAAGTAGATCCGAGATTCAATACTAAACCAGGATCTTTAGGTTTCTTGGATATCAGAATATGATTTACTAGTTGCAGTCTGGTCGGTGGTTTCAAACATTTTTTATTTTTCCATATATTGGGAATTTCATCATCCCAAGATGGTTAAACCCACCAACCAGCTAGTTACCTAGTTCCAGTTGGGGTACATCGTGATGATTCAACGGATATACTCCTTATCCTGATGGAACTCCGGAGGAATGATGTGACGTGACATTTTTTAGGTCATTTGCAGGTCATACCCTCTGGTTATGACATGTTATGACTAACCTAACTATGGAAAATCACCATAGAAATCCTGAATTTTCCCATGAAAAATGGTGGATCTTTCCGTTATGTAAACGTTTACCAGAGGGTAATCCCACTTTTCCGGGAGAAATGATGTTCTTCCTTGGTGAATTCCAGTGTTTGTTCGCATGAAAAGTCACGAATATTCTTCTGAAATCTCAATGTTAGTATCGTAAACCCATGACTAGACCAACTATGTGCATACATGTGCATACTTTAAATCACAGCGCTTCTAAGTTTAATCCATGTGTCTTTCAGATGAAATCACATCCTGGGTCTTTGTCCACGTTACCTTCACATCCCACATGTTTCTATAGGTTTACTGTGGGTTACCCTCTGGTAAACTAAAAGTTTGCTATGGAAATTGGATCGTTTTTGTAGTTGATTACTTATTCTAAGTATTCATAAGCTACAAATTAGGTAATTGTTCCAGTTCGCAAAGTGGTAGTTTACTCGCTTATAACTAGTAACTAGCTAAATCATTGATAAAGAGAACCACTTACTACGGAGTTAACAGTCACGAGGCGCACGGGGCGTGCGCGCTTACTGGAGAGTGAACGGAACGAAAGGAGGAGCTCGGTCACTTGGAGAAGCTGGGGAATTCTATATTATAGTTGGTGAGAAACTTGGGGATGATTTACCCCCTGGTAAATTTACAGTTCGACCCTGAAAATGACCAGCCTTATGGTGGAAACTAGTCTTCCAAGCCCGATGACTGGCAGGGTCGAACTGTTAATTTACTGGAGGGTATTACTCAAAAAGTACCTTTTGGGGATGATTTATACCATTCATGACTTTGGTGATGACTTGGGGACCTTGGGGATGGTTTATTACTTCCATCCCTTAATGTTAAACACCCCCAAAAATGATAAACCATCTATGATAATCTATGTAGCAATTCCCTACTAAACCAAGGTACCAAGGTTTCGTTTGGGGGTGTTTTTATATGAACGAGGAAAGGACTTACATACTGGAAGTATTATATAATGTGATCATGGGTATATGAATGGATATTGTTGGGTAATTGATATTACCTGAATCTCATTATATAATGGTATGTTATATTAATGGTATGTTGGATATACAAATTGTTGGATATATTCATGGTATAAATACTATATATATATGTGTGTTAATATAACCTAGGTTGTTTGAGTCGATCATTTGTTATTTTCCTAATCGGAAGTACACTACTTGTGGAATCGTTTGAGGGAGTATGGTTTATATCTGTAGCGTTCCGGATCAGCAAGTCTAAGTATAGCTAAGTGATTTCTCTGACTTTAATTTGTTGCCCTAGATGTTTGGTAATTTATGTTAGATGAAATGATCAAGAAATCCACAATGTTTGTTAGATATATGTATACATATAGAGGTTTCCTAAAATGGAGGGGTGCCTCTGAATCATCCATTTGAATAGGATTTCCCATTATAAACCATTTATTCTTTGGTACCCCCATTTTTCGGAAACCCATAGGGTTGATCGCTTCCTATCGGTAGATCCCAAATCGTGTTTTGGCATCGGAAACGAGGAAAAAAAACGCCGTTTCCGCCTGATGATTTCTATTGAAATGATGGGAATACGGAGTTTTTTTCCACCAATCTGGCATGCGGATCCGAATTTTGACTGATTTTTGTGCAGTGATGATCAACCAATGGATTCATAGATGGTATTGATTGATATGACCTAGACCTGCCCAAAAAACCTTGGGATATGACAGACCATGATAGACCCAAAATTTGCATGTTTGATTGGTGAAATGATTTTCTCAACCATGAAGTACTTGTGGTGTTGTGGTGTGCCTTATTTGCAGGCAAATCTACGTTTAAGATACCCTTGGGCTATTGGCCATAGCTGTGGAAAATGGTCCATAGAAATAGATGATTTGTCATGATTTACCTCTTAAACATGTTGATTTTCCATGGTCGTTTTACATAAGCAGAGGGTAGAGTCGTATAACTCTCTGCTGGATTGGGGCCTTGCCATTTTCATTTGGTAGAGGATGTAAAGGTTGCTCCCGCCCAATTTTTGGCTGGCTTGCGTTTGAGCTTTTCGGATCGAGATAGTAAGAAAATGTAAAGGAAGTCATTCGCATGGGTAGAACCCCCAAGACAGTGCCTGGTTGGTGGTTTTGGAACATAAATTTTATTTTTCCATATATTGGGAATTTCATCATCCCAACTGACGAACTCATAGTTTTCAGAGGGGTCAGAGGGGTAGGTATACCACCAACCAGGTGACATCATTCTGCAATCTTCGACTGTTGCGATGTAGAGTTTCATCAAGGTACATCGTGAATCGTGAATAAATCTAGCTCCTTTGGTGGCAAACATGTTGATACATATCAACCTCGGATCAATGAGCCCTAGTTTATTAATACAAGGGCGCCCAAGATAGTTAGAATTCAATGGAGCTACCACATAAAACATCATACCCTAAGGTAACTTAACAAAGCTATGGAACATCAGCATTTTCTGGAAGGTAAATCATCAAACTAGATGGGCCATTTCTCCATAACCATGTTAGATTACCACAGGAACCCACATGTGTAAACCCTATTATATCAATTATATCCTTTCTAACTTAACTATAAACACAATATAAACCAGCGTTTTCCCACTATATCTCATTATAAACCTCATCATTTTGTTTGATTTCTCCACTTTCTGTGAGCTCGCCCATTTCACGCGCACATGGCCTCATGCCATCCTGGCGATTCCTGCTGCTTCTGGAAGCCGCGAACGCGTTCAACGCGGGAACCCCGCCGCGCTATGGGCTCAACGTTTTGGACGGGAAGAACTATCCGCACCATCCAGCGTTTTGGCAAGTCATTTTTTCAGGTTAGAAATGTGGATCTTCTGAAAGTATACCCTCTGGTAATTTAACATAGCTATGGAAAATCACCATTTTTCATGGGAAAATCAACTATAAATAGCCATTTTCAATAGCTATGTTAAATTACCAGAGGGTAATATGGGATAATATGGGGGTCTTATCGTTTTTTTGGGGGACATCATTGGGATGTTTCTGATTTATATATTTGTATAGATTACTGTTTTAAATAGGCAGGATATAATTTATATCATGTCATCATGTTGTTTCTCATTTTGATGAGATTGATTATAGGGAAATCCCATGGGAAGATTCCGTGCAAAAAACCGCTTGGAGGATCAGCCAGGGCTTCATCAACATGACTAAACTCTAAACCTAGATTCCCTGAGTCAGCGATTTTTTTTTCCATGGGTCAATCCATGTCAATCCACAATGGAAAGTCGAACATCTCATCAATGGGAATTTCAGGATCCTAAAATGGAGGTACCATATATGACCATATTTTGTGCCAGATATTCCCTGAAATTTAGGCCTGAAAAATAGGCCTTATATATGGTACGTCCAATAAATCGGTTCCTGAGTCATGGCCATTGATCTCATCCGAAATCTGGTGAAATGCTTCCACAACCCTCAGGTGATGCTTCAAGTTCCACAGCGGAGCTACAAAATTGAGCCCGGTCTGTTAACAGACCATTGTGGTTTGAAAGTTCCGCAACATTTCGACTGCCTGAACCTTTGCAACAAGAGCAAGTGCCAATCGTTGCTCGGTGCTTAGCCTCCGGGGATCTGGCAATGGAAAATCATCCTGCCATGTCTGATCAGTGGAGGGTCACGGTGGGCTTCAGTCGTGTCATGCTATCTTGACCCAAAGTTGTTGACCTGGACAGCTGAAAGTATTGGAGATGAGCTTTTCGCGTGGCAGTCATCAACTATTTGTTTATTGGCCTGGCATCTTTGTGACATTTTCAACCAGGCTTTTTTGTGGTTTAAATTGTTTGGTATCCGATGCCCATTTGGGGGTGAGATTTTTGGAGCTATGGGTCTCCATGTTCACCATGTTCCCTATTCCGTAGCACATGGGTTCTCCAACCACATGATTGACCATCTACGAGATCTACCCTCTGGTTATTTAACATAGCTATTGAAAATGACCATATATAGTGGATTTTCCCATTAAAAATGGTGATTTTCCATAGCTATGTTAAATTACCAGAGGGTATGATCAATCTTTGGGATGGATGGTTGCAAACCCACCAATGACCCCAAATATAAGAGTCCACTGCTGAATAGATTTCAAGATTTTTTCTGGAAAAGACATGAAAAGACGATGCATATGGTGAATAGGTAAATGATAAATAATAGGTAATTGATATTCCTGAATAATAGGTAATAATGGTAAATAATAGGTGAATAGGTAAACGATAATTAATAGAAACTCTGCGGTGAAGCTTCAGATCAACAAAGGGATTTTTGCTCGGCAAGACATGGCCCAGACATGAGATTTTTCCGGCGCCAGAGGCTTGGTCCAGCGCTACTTGGTGCGAAAAAGTTATGGCCTGGTCAGTGGCTATTTTTCGGCAATTGCAAGTTATGGCACATTAATGGGATTCTATAGTGATTCAATAGTGATTTAATGGGATTCTATAGTGATTCAATGGGATATTAATGGGATTCTATAGTGATTCAATGGGATATTAATGGGATATACCCTCTGGTTATGACTAACATAGCCATGGAAAATCAGCATTTATAGTGGATTTTCCCATTAAAAATGGTGGATCTTTCCATAGTTATGTTAGTTTACCAGAGGGTAATGAAAACAGCTCATGGCTTATGGGGATTCAACCCCCCCGGAACGTTACCTGTGATCCCCCCGACAGGGACGAGTGAATCACTTCCAGCCATTGAAATCACTGTAGGTGATCCCCTGCCAAGTTTGATGGAGGGTATATAGATAGACATGTTATATTACTATAGGTACCATGGTTTATGAAACTGGAGGGTATCTATAGTAATACACCATGGTTTATGAAAATTAGGGGTACTGCCCAAATAGTAAGAATCTGATACTTTTTTTTGGTATCCCCCCAATTAAACAATTGTTTGGGGTTTATTAATCCAGGGTTGACATGATTGGGGATGTCTTAAGGCATTGGGTTGACCATAGAAGAGACTTTGTTGTCTGCAGAGTCTGTAACATTCGCCAAGTTCAGAGGAACTATTCTGTGTGGGCAACAAGCAGCCTAGGCGTTTTCACGACTCATTTGATTTCCCAATGGCACATAACCATTCTATGCCAGTGGATACCCTCCGGTAAACATACAAAAAACTATGGAAAATCACAATTTTTAATGGGAAAATCCACTATAAGCGGCCATGTTCAATAGCTTTTTGTATGTTTACCAGGCCGGGTAGCCCTGGTTGGCGGTTTCAAAGATGTCAGCTATAACTTTAAAAAAATCCAAGATGTTAGGGATGCTCCTAGTGTTTAAACTTTCAGTGGACAATATCTATCAACATCTAATATCCATGACTTATCCACTTTCATTGGGCATTTTCCAGCCATGTTTTTTTTTTTACCAACGGATGCTGCTCTGTTCCCTTTGAGGTACAACTACTACCGCTACGTCCCTTCACGGCGCTTGCTTTGCCACGAACATCAAGCTTATGTGGACGCAAGGCTGTCGCATAGCATGGTGAATTTGCCCCTGATAGATGATGATTATGGTGACTGGCCAATGTTGGGGGACGCCCCCCACAGTGCCATTTTGAGATGTTGGTCTATGTTTATCCATTGTCTTAACCATTATAATTATATATCTCTCTCTCTCTCTCTCTTGTTTCCACTACTTGGAGGCACAGCTCCACTAAAGCAGTAGATATATGGCCACAACAATGAGGGTTATATCTTAAGGTGCCTTGGTTCCACGATGTCTTAGCCCCCTGACCGCGACCACACACCACAATTTATCCCATGATAGACCCTCTAAAGCACCTAACCACCCATTATTCTCTCATGGCCATATTCACCAACCCCAATTTACCTGCCGGTAATTCAACACAGCTGTGGAAACACACCGTATTTAACAGGTAAATCATCTATAGCTCACCTTGAATGACCCATTTTTCATAGCTACGTTAGATTGCCAAAGAGTATATCCCATTATAAATCCATATGATATCCATATAAAAATCATATAAGATCCATATAACTCCATATAATTCTATCTATCTGTTTGTGTCTATCCATCCATCCATCTATCTATCTATCTATCTAACGATCTATCCATCTATCTGTCGATCTATCCATCTATCTATCTATCTATCTATCTATCTATCCATCCATCCATCTATCCATCCATCCATCTATCTATCTATCTATCCATCTATCCATCTATCCATCTATCCATCTATCCATCTATCTATCTTTCTATCTTTCTTTCTATCTATCTATCCATCTATCTATCTATCTATCTATCTATCTATCTTTCTATCCATCCATCCATCCATCTATCTATCTATCGATCGATCGGTCTATCTATCGATCTATCTATCTATCTATCGATCGATCGGTCTATCTATCGATCTATCTATCTATCTATCCATCCATCCATCTATCCATCCATCTATCTATCTATCTATCGATCTATCTATCTATCTATCCATCTATCCATCTATCTATCTATCTTTCTATCTATCTATCTTTCTATCTATCCATCCATCCATCCATCTATCCATCCATCCATCCATCTATCTATCTATCGATCGATCGGTCTATCTATCGATCTATCTATCGATCTATCTATCTACCTATCTATCTATCTATCTATCTTTCTATCTATCTATCTATCTAATCTATCTATCTATCTATCTATCTATCTATCTATCTATCTATCTATCTGTATCCAGGATATCCATATAAGGTTCATTCAGACGATTCATTCAGAAGATTCATATAACTCCGATTTTCCACATATTTTCCACCATCTTCAACCTTCATTTCCTTCCCAAGGCGAACACGTGGCCGTCTACCAATCCGTGCTGCGGCACCAAGCGCGCCACGGCGCCTTCCGCGTCGTGGAGCTGGGCGCGCGCTGGGGCACCTGGGGCGCACGCGCCGTGCAGTTCCTGCGCACAGTGAAGCCGCAGCTGCGATATGAGGCACTCATGGAACAATAAATGTGTTTTGGGACATAGAAAATAATAGTACATGAATCTATCTCTATTTTTACGATGTTACATGTATATATATATATATAGGTAATATGGGATATAATGATAGTTTATATATATAGGTAGATTTTTACCACTGGCACTGGTAATTGAACAAGATGAACAAGATATTGTCCCGTTAATATGGGATAGAGCTAGTTGAAAAATGTTGAAAAGTTGGCACAATACGTATAATGTCCATATAATTAGAGTTAATATACGATTATTATATGTGAAGGGCTGAAATCCATTGACTTATGGAACTTGTGGATAATGACAAAAACTAGTGACGGATAGGAATGGATATGCTAACGGATATGTTGATTACTGTAACGGGTATATGATGATATGAACATTGGTTCATATGGCAAGATATATCATATGAATACCCAGTGTGAATGGATAGTGCTGAGAAGTGGATCCCAATGACAATCATTGTGGTATAAAATGCATATAAAAACCATATAATATCATATAATGATATATATAGAATGATATGGGACAACAATATGGTATAGTACTGGTATGTGGATTGATTATATAGACATGTATATACTAAACACTGCCACTTGACAATTACATGGATGTTGGCTCTTCGTGTATGTGGATTTTAACCCCACCAAAAAACACATGGTAATATATGGTGATATTGTTGGTACATGATGATTGATGATTACTTCGGGGTTTCCCATAAGGCCTCTTCAATCCGTGTCTTGAAAAGCAAGCATGCAGGTGAAGATCAAACAAATCACCAGATTCATTTTGTTTGTTTCATCTTATTCAAACAATGTCCCATTTCCCGGTTTCCTGCTTAAGAAAAAACAGCTACAGTATATACTACTCAACATGTCCATTCCTGGATGACTTTAGGCCAGGGTTTTCTTTCAAACACCAGCCACCACAGCCACCACTCAGTTCGGACGGAGGCCTTCTTTGTGGAACCAGCCAAACGCTCATGCGGCGCCTTGCGACAAGTGACTGGGATTGACGCCCAGGGTGACGCCCAGGATTCGGGTTGACATCCCCAATTTTAACCACCCCTGAATTGACGCAAGTTTCATTTGTTTTTTTTCCAATTTGTTTCCCTGATTTGTTCCTTTATTTTCTATGGGTTTTCTTCCATATTTCAGACGGTTTACGTATTAAAACATTAAAACATGGCCATTTGACATGCCAACCCTGCAGCAACCAGGTGATGAAGCTCAACGAGATTCGTTTTCAGCTCCTCTGCAATTACGCGACGCCGGAAGCCCTGCTGAAGATCATGGAAGGCGGGAATCGATGCTCCCCATACCGCCCTGCCCCACCCAAGAGATCCACAGTGCGGGGCTTTCTGCGCAGTGTTCATGATTGTAGGGTTTTCTGAGGGACCTTTAGGCACACAATAATGATTTATAGGATATTATAGGTACGTACAGCATCGATCAGGTTGATGAACAGACTAGAGTTACACATCACCTTCACCGTCGAGACATTTGTTGATTGAGCTTGGAGCCCAGGACAAACCTTTTTTCCATCGAATTTTCATGCATTTATTACTTTTTTTTTGCGAAAAGTTAACATGTTTTTTGGCGATAAGTTATTTTTAATGTTTTGATTGTATCCCAGCTAGCAATAAGGGCATACACAACTACATCTAAGACTTAGTCTAAGACTCTCCACTTGTAGGCTGTTTTTTCAAGTGAATCTATCCTTTGGCCACCATGAACCTAGTTACGTTTGTCAAAAAATGACACAAACCAACTTTGCTAATAAACTAGGGCACCAACATGCACGACCAAGCTGTGATATTTGCCAACATTTTCCAAAGCGTCAGGATTGTAAATTATATTATATATACATATCCCATTATGTCAGCATATCCCCACTACATCCCATCTAATATCACTGGCTGAAATCTCCATTTCAGCCATCCCTGGCCCTGATCCACCACTGGATCCACGGGCGCTGGCCAGGTCTTGATTTTGTGGACCTCATTCACATCGACATCCAGTTCGCGGAGAGTACCCTGCTGGCGCACCCAGGTGTGCAAGAGCTGCTGCGTTCGCGTGCGGCACGGATCATCGTGGGAAGCCATTCGCCCCAGATTCACCAGGAACTGGTGTCTCGCTCCGCGAACGTGCAACATGGGGAGCCAACATCCCAAATTATAGGACCGGATAACCCCACATGTGAACAACTTCTCCAGCCTTAGACTGAGCACAGAAAAGCCAGAAGGGAAGAGGAAGTATGAGAGTGATGGAGGGGTGATGGTGGGTGAGTTTGTGTGTATGTCAGTGTATGTATGCATGTGCATGTACAGGTGTGTCACTTTGGTAGTGTGTTAACGATATGTGTACCGGGTGTAAGAGGCAGTTTGTCAGTGAGAGTGAGTGAGTGAGGGAGTGAGGGAGGGAGTGAGTGAGAGAGTGGGTAGGTGGGTGAGTGGTGAGTGCGTGGCTGCATGGGTGCGTGGGTGCGTGGGTGAGGCGAACGGACGCCAGAGGGACGCCAGAGGGACACCAGAGGGACACCAGAGGGACACCGGGGCGTACATCCGATCCCTTGGCAACGCACGTTGTGCCACGCCTGCCACGCAAAAGCGGCGGAGACCAAGGGGCACCGGAGGGACGCCAGAGGGACGCCAGAGGGACGCCAAGGCGTACATCCGACCCCTTGGCAATGAGTGAGTGAGTGAGTGAGTGTGATGTGTGTGTGTGTGTGTGTGCGTGCGTGCGTGCGTGCGTGCGTGGGTGTGTGTGAGTGGGTGTGTGTGAGTGTGTGTGTGTGTGTGAGTGAGTGAGTGAGTGAGTGAGTGAGTGAGTGAGTGAGTGAGTGAGTGAGTGAGTGAGTGAGTGGGTGGGTGAGTGAGTGAGTGAGTGAGTGAGTGAGTTGAGGGTGACTGAGTCTGTGTGTGTGAGAGTGAGTGAGAGAGTGTGAGAGAGTGTGAGGGAGGAGCGACGGGAAGGAAGGAGCGGATACAGAACTAAAAACAAAAACCCCACACGTCAATGTGGGGAAAAAATCCAAAAATTACTTCACTTCGAATGATCCCCACCATGACATTTATACATTTTCTTACTGGCAAATCTTCTGGCATTCTATCTGACATATCTTCTGGCATTCTATCTGGCATTCTATCTGGCATATCTTCTGTCATATGTTCTGGCATATCTTCTGGCATTCTATCTGGCAAATCTTCTGGCATTCTATCTGGCATATCTTCTGGCATTTTATCTGACATTTTATCTGGCATATCTTCTGACATTTTTTCTGGCATTCTATCTGGCATATCTTCTGACATTCTATCTGACATATCTTCTGACATTCTTTCTGGCATATCTTCTGACATTATGTCTGGCATATCTTCTGACATTATTTCTGACATTCTTTCTGGCATTCTATCTGGCATATCTTCTGACATTCTTTCTGACATTCTTTCTGGCATTCTATCCGGCATACCTTCTGACATACTGTGGATGGAAGAAATCCTGCACCACCTTGGATGGTTGAAACCCTGTAAATAATGGGATGAACCATCTATCAACTGGTGCAGGATTTCTTCCATCCACAGTATGTTCTGGCATATCTTCTGGTATATCTTCTGGCATTCTATCTGGCATTCTATCTGGCATATCTTCTGACATTCTTTCTGGCATTCTATCTGATATATCTTCTGGCATTCTATCTGGCATATCTTCTGGCATTTTATCTGGCATATCTTCTGACATTCTATCTGGCATATCTTCTGACATTCTTTTTGGCATATCTTCTGACATTCTTTCTGGCATATCTTCTGGTATATCTTCTGGTATATCCTCTGGTATATCTTCTGGCATTCTATCTGGCATATCTTCTGGCATTCTATCTGGCATATCTTCTGACATTCTTTCTGGCATTCTATCTGGCATATCTTCTGACATATGTTCTGGCATATCTTCTGGTATATCTTCTGGCATTCTATTTGGCATTCTATCTGGCATATCTTCTGACATTCTTTATCTGGCATATCTTCTGACATTCTGTCTGGCATATCTTCTGACATTCTTCCTGACATTCTTTCTGGCACTCTATCCGGCATATCTTCTGACATTCTTTCTGACATTCTTTCTGGCATTCTATCTGGCATATCTTCTGACATATGTTCTGGCATATCTTCTGGTATATCTTCTGGCATTCTATCTGGCATTCTTTCTGGCATATCTTCTGACATTCTTTCTGGCATTCTATCTGGCATATCTTCTGACATTCTTTCTGGCATATCTTCTGACATTCTTTCTGACATTCTTTCTGGCATATCTTCTGGTATATCTTCTGGCATTCTATCTGGCATATCTTCTGGCATTCTATCTGGCATATCTTCTGACATTCTTTCTGGCATTCTATCTGGCATATCTTCTGACATTCTATCTGAGATCTTTTCTTCCCGTTGATGTCCGGCAGTGCCCACTGCGACCTGGAGCTCGTGCCCACTGGGATCTGGAGCTCGCGGTGGAGGTCCGGCTGTGCCCACTGGGATCTGGACTGCGAGGAGGAGAACGAGGAGGAGATGGAGGAGGAGGCGGAGGAGGAGGAGAACAGCTCTGATAAAATCTAACAACCCTCACCTGGCAGGTGGGGAAATAGCTGGTGAATGGAAAATCTGAAAAGCAAATGGATGATTTTTGGAACGGGTTGGGTTCAAGGAGAATCTTTAACCGTGAGCGGGTTAGTTTTTAGGCAACATTTAGCCATGTTTTTTTGGGGGTCCCTGCAGATTTGCATAGATTTGCCGGTGGTTTATGGGTCATGGGACGTCATACTTTTTAATCCGACATGGGTTTCCTCCTGCTTGGTTCTCTGGAAACCTCTCCGAATCCAGACTGGTCTTCCTCAACTTGCTGAGGTCGAGATGTACAGAGATTGGATTCCCATTTTCAGCCTGCCATTTGGCTTCGAAGACTGTATCCATGGCTTTCTTAGTCTTTTTTTTTTACTTCCGCGATGGGAAATGTACCAAGCATGGGGAATCCATAGCTATAAATGGCTGGCTGGTGGTTTCAAACAATTTTTCTTCCATAACATATGGGATGTCATCCTTTCCATGGACGTTTATATTTTTCAAGATGGTTAAAAACACCAACCAGAAATGATGTTGATGTTAGATGGGGATGGGTCAAGTTACCAGCATATGGGGTGAAGGTTCCCACCCAACCAGCTACTTGGGGGTCCCAGGGTCTTCAGGATGGCGGTGGCTGCTTTTGAAATACAGGAACCCCCCTATCTTTCATTGTTAAAAATATGGTTTCCTGTAAGTTTTCACCAAAAAACAATCCAATGATTGATATAGTCTATGGTCTATCGTTCCCCCTTTCTTGACTGTTGTCAGCATATTGGACGCCTTGTGGCCAGTCCTGATCCGGAAGATTAGTTCTCCTGGCCTCATGTAGTTTTTGACACATTGGCCGATTTTCCCATTGCAACCTTAAAATCAATCAACATCACATCACCTATAAATCCATTGGTTGATCATCATTATTCCAAATTATTCCAAAATTCATTTAAAGTTCAGATCCGCATACCATATTGGTGATTTGGTGGTTGTATATATCTATATATCCCATACATTTCCCTATATATCGCTATATATCTCCATTTCCTCCAGGTATCCTCGAGATCTTACGCCGCAAAGACGACGATTTGGGTGCAAGTGCCGCGGATTGGGCCATGGTGCGGCAACGCCGATGTTTCTATGAAACGCCGCACGGTGGGGTGACGAACTACGATGGCTTGCTGATTTTGGCCACACTGGGTGCCTTGGAGCATGTCAGGGCTGTCAGGGGACCCCCGTTGTAGCCAAGTTGACCTACATAACTTGCCGAATTCTATGGCTAAGGGGGATAATGGGACCGTCGATTGGACTTAGGCCCGGTTTTCAAGCCCAGAATTGGATGGGAAAAAATCATGGTTTCAGGTGAAGATGTTCCCTTCGACATCTTAGATAAGGTAGATCTTCCGGGGTAGAGGACATTGTGGGACGATCTTTGGTGCCAAGGTGGATGCCAGCAAAATCTTCTCAATGAATGATACCGATCTCCGAATTGATGAGTTGAAGCCGCTGCCCGAGAAGGCATGACATGCCTTTGGCGCGGCCTTCCGCTCGAGCCGCTCGTTCAGAGTATGGTCGTCTTCGCGTCAAGATGACGAGCAACATCCAGCGGCCCATGGGTACTACTAATTGATTAGATTGAATCCGGGCTTTGGAAACCTCCAAATCTTGGAAACTCATCAGCCAAAAATCAAAATACTAAAGACTTAAACATACTTAAACCCAATCAGTCTGGGGTTAAAGATGGACCTGCTGATCAACTCACTTACATATATACACATCACACACACATTTACTTATATATATAACACGCATATTATATACAACCATATACACATATATATATAATGTCTGCACACACACACATATATATATATATAAAAACATACTTGTTGGACATAGCAGCCGTGGCCTTCGCTTCGAATCCTTCGTATTGTCGATATTCAGCAATGCTGCGAGATGAAAATGTGCGGAGAGGACTGGGGAATGGTGATAAATAAATATGTATATACATGTATGTATATATATATATATATAATTATATATATATATATAATTATATATATATATATATGTATGGGTCAACTATGTTTTATGGATGTTTACAGGGGATATAACATGGTATAACTGGAACTAATGGATTTATTCATTGTGGGAAATCCGGTGTAAATGTGGGTTTATAGCCGGGAAAATCACATAAATATATACATATAGAATACCATGAAATATTGCAGAAGTATTATGGGAATATATTCTACTGGATCTATCAATGGATAATTGAATGGATGTTAATGCATATGATATGTTAACTAACCTCGGCTTGTTTAAGGTGATGTTTTGCTTCCCCAATAGGAAATACACCTGGAATGTGGAATCCATAGGCCGTAGGTTGTTTTTTTTCCCCGTTGGCTTAAGCAAATCCAAGTAGCTCTGTTGGATTTACATTGGGATGCATTCTAGGAATAATAAGATTCATATAACTTATATATATAGTTTTTTCGGAACTTTTTAATTAACCAACAATTGGATACATATATATATATATGCTGGATACCCCCAAATATCCCTAGATTTGTATTGGGTAAGCTGGACATATGAGGTGTTCAAATCATCCAACCATCCTGGTTTCATGTCGGCATCTTTTTGGGAGGGCGGATGCTCTACATTTGTTGGGACATGTATCGGGATGTGAATTATGCAAATCAGTATATATATACATGGATGTAGACTATAGAACTTTATTTGGATATAGAATTGGATATAATGTAGGCTGCCTAATAATAAAACTCCCACCCTAAATTTATGTTTTTTTTAGGGTGGTGGTCAGCATTCCAATAGTAAATTCCTGGAACCCTATGGCTGGGATCATGATATGTATCTGATAGATTATCCATGGTTTTGTTGGGTTTTTGATGGATTCTGAATGGATTTGGTTGGGTTTCTGATAGATAGGGTATGGATTTTGCATGGATTAGGTTTGGTTTCTGTTAGATTCTGCATGGGTTTGGTTTGATTTCTGAAATGTTCTGCATGGGTTCTGCATGGATTAGGGTTAGTTTCTGCTAGATTCTGCATGGATTTGGTTTGGTTTCTGATGGGGTCTGCATGGATTCTGCATGGGGCAGTGTTGGTTTCTGTTAGAATCTGCATAGAATTTGGTTGGCTTTCTGAGATGTTCTGCATGGATTCTGCTTTGTCTTGGTGAAGTTTCTGGTGGATTCTGCATAGGATTTGGTTGGATTTCTGGTAGATTCTGCATGAGTCTGGTGGGATCCTGACAGATTCTGCATGACTGCATGTTTCTGAAGCTGATGCAAGGCTTTTGTAGCACTCTGGCTCCTCTGGCTCTTCTGTCTGTGTCTCTGTCCCAACCTCTGATCTGCCATGTCTCTGCCTTATGGTGAATCTGTGCCTGTGGCTGCTGAGATGTATGGCCCTGATGTGCAGCACAGGGTCTGTACCAGGGCTGTTCTAAACCTGCAGAAGGAGATCTGCACTCCCTGCAGAGTGCACTTATGCCGTTCTGAAGTCCAGGCTGGGGTGGGAGTTGCTTGGATGCAAGGGTTCTGGACTTTGCATGGGATTGGTTTCTGGTGGGAAGCTCTTGGATATGGTGTTGTTTTTTGGGTTTTTTTTCTGCATGGATTCCTGGGCTTGCTGAGGCTGGAGGCCTATCTGGCTGCTGGTGGGCCTGCCCTTCTGTGGAAGTGGATCTTCTGGTTTGCCTGGATGCAGGCTGCTGCTGAGTGGCTGTATGAGTCAATTGGCTCTGGCACCAGCAGCCTGAATCTGGCAGCAGTTCTGCGCAATCTGAAGGTGGTCTGGACTGGGCTTCCTGGCTGGTGGATGGGGTTATGCATGGGTTTTGTTGGGATTCTGATGGATTTTTTGTTGAAGTTCTGATGGACTCAGCATAGGTATTGTTGAGATTCTGGTGGGTTTTTGTTGAATTTCTCATGGATTCTGCATGGTTTTGTTGAGATTCTGATGTGTTTTTGGTGAATTTCTCATGGATTCTGCACGGTTTTGTTGAGATCCTGGTGGGTTATGTATGGATTTTGTTGGAAATCTGATGGAGTCTGCATGGATTTGATGAAATCTTTGAAAGTTCCTGCATGGATTTGTTTGGTTTTCTGATGTGTCCTGCATGGATTTACTTGGATCTCTGGCAGTGTGTTCTGATAGGTTTCTGATAGATTACCGATTGTCTCTGTGGGCACACTAAGGGTGATCTGCTTCATTGCCTCTGAAGTGGATGTGAAGCCGATGGAGGTGACTCTGCCAGAGCCATATGCTCTGTGGGAGCTCTGGATCAAAAGCTGCTACTCGACTTATGTTGTGCCATTTTGTATTGGTTGCTTTGGTGATTTTTATCTCTATATCTCTCTGTCTCTTTCTTTTTTTAAATATAACTCATGTGGCTTCTGCCCAGGCTATCAGGAGACTCTGGCTCATATGGCCTACATTCTGGAGCTGGCTGAAGCACATGGGAAGGATTCTGTTGCTCTGGTGGCTGAGGCCTGGTATGTTTTATGCTGATGAATGGATTTTGCATGGATTGTGCTGAGATTCTGATGAATTTTTGTTGAAGTTCTGATGGGTTCTGCATGGGAGTTGTTGGGATTCTGGTGGATTCTGCATAGTTTTGTTGAGATTCTGATGGGTTAGGTACGGATTTTGTTGAAGTTCTGATGGATTCTTCATAGGTCTCGTTGTGATTCTGATGGGTTAGGTATTGATTTTGTTTGAGGTCTGATGGATTCTGCATAGGTTTTGGCAACATTCTGATGGTTATTTGTTGAAGTTCTGATGGGCTCTGCATAGGTTGTGTGGAGATTCTGATGGGATCTGCATGGGTTCATTTTCAATTCTGATGGGTTATGCATGGAATTGTCTTGGTAATTCTGATGGGTTATATTTGTATTCTGATGGACTTTTGTTGGATTCTGCATTGCCCTGTGTCTTCATGGCAGGTGGATTGGCCCAACGAAGATCTGAAGCCTGTGCCACTGTCTGATGCTGCCAAAGAGTGTATGAAGAAGAGGAAGGAGTCTCTGATGTGAGGCTCTGATGCTGGTCTGTTCTGCTTTGCTGGTCTGGTAGGGAGCCTTGGCTTTCTTTAGTGTCTGAATGGTCTTCTCATATGGTTCTGTGATGTTTTCTTCTGATTTCTAAATGTATTCGGCTGGGTTCTGATTGTGTGTTGGTTGGTTTTCATAGGGTTCTGTGCGTGGAATGTTTGTGAGGTGGTTTTCTGTTGACCCCAGCATCTGGCTGCAGTACTGCGCTATGCGGCTGGGCTTCTGAGCCTCTGAGCCTCTGTACAGCTGCTCTGAGCCTCTGTACAGCTGCTTTTGGGATTCTGAGTAGATCAATTTAAGTAATTACAATTTAGTTGAATTAGTAATCAATGCTACTATTCATTACATAACTAATTAATGGCCATGACACCTGCTCATTAGTAATGATACCATACCTGTGTTGATCTGATCATCTGTTTTTGATTTGCTTGGATGATTTTGAAAGCCGATGCTGCCATAGGGTGCATGCCACTGGATCTGTAATAAAGCATGTTAATTGTATATTAGTAATTAACTAGTTAACAAGTAAATAAATAAATATGTGTATATATATATAATTATACTTATTTGACTTCAGAAATATATCAAAAATCTGAAGGTGTTTTCTGATCCAATGGCTGCCATTCTGTGTATCTTTGCTGTGCCTCTGTGGCCTTTCTGGTGCTGATCGATCTGATTGCCTGCTAAGCATCTGTGGCTGCAAAAGCTTCTGCATGGATTCTGCACCTTGTGAATTAAGAAGGTAAGTACCTAGTGTAGGCAAGTAGGTAATTGAGCAAATAAGTAAGTAAGCAAGTAAGTAACTAGGTGAGTAAGTAAGGTAGGTAGGTAAGTAAGTAAGTCTGTAAGTAAGTACATACATTCATACTTGTGCATTGGTACATGCATACATTAAGACATAAATTATTACACACATTCATACATTAACCTATATATCCATCCATCCATCCATCCATCCATCAATCCATACATACATACATACATACATCCTTACTGGCTTTCCTGCTCAATTGCCTTCCTCCTCTTGCTTTCTTCCTTCCTTCCCTCCCTTCCTTACTCAGTGGAAAAAAACAAGAAACACTAATTAATTGGAATTCATTATTGCCATGCACAGGGAAGGTTTATTATTGCTATTCTGGGGCTTGCAAAGGGGATACCCTTTGTGGACCTGTTTTCTTGTTTTTTAATAAGGGTTTTATAAGGAAATCAGCTGTTTGGTAATTGGATCAGATTTCTGGAACCTAAGCTTTTGTTAATGAAAAGTGCTTGCTGCTTTGAAAAGGATTTTGCTTTACTTTGCTTTCTCCAAACATCTGAAAACACAACCAGGGGAAGCACAATTGGAATTCATTATTGCCATGCACAGGGAAGGTTTATTATTGCTATTCTGGTGCTTGCAAAGGGGATACCCTTTGTGGACCTGTTTTCTTGTTTTTTAATAAGGGTTTTATAAGGAAATCAGCTGTTTGGTAATTGGATCAGATTTCTGGAACCTAAGCTTTTGTTAATGAAAAGTGCTTGCTGCTTTGAAAAGGATTTTGCTTTACTTTGCTTTCTCCAAACATCTGAAAACACAACCAGGGGAAGCACAATTGGAATTCGTTATTGCCATGCCTGGTGCAGGTTTATTATTGCTATTCTGGTGCTTGCAAAGGGGATACCCTTTGTGGACCGGTTTTCTTGTTATTTTTTATAAGGGTGTTAGAAGGAAATCAGCTGTTTGGTAATTGGATCAGATTTCTGGAATCTAAGCTTTTGTTAATGAAAAGTGCTTGCTGCTTTGAAAAGGATTTTGCTTTACTTTTCTTTCTCCAAACATCTCAAAACACAACCAGGAGAAGCACAATTGGAATTCGTTATTGCCATGCCTGGTGCAGGTTTATTATTGCTATTCTGGTGCTTGCAAAGGGGATACCCTTTGTGGACCGGTTTTCTTGTTATTTTTTATAAGGGTGTTAGAAGGAAATCAGCTGTTTGGTAATTGGATCAGATTTCTGGAATCTAAGCTTTTGTTAATGAAAAGTGCTTGCTGCTTTGAAAAGGATTTTGCTTTACTTTTCTTTCTCCAAACATCTCAAAACACAACCAGGGAAGCACAATTGGAATTCAGTATTGCCATGCACAGGGAAGGTGTATTATTGCTATTCTGGTGCTTGCAAAGGGGATACCCTTTGTGGACCGGTTTTCTTGTTATTTTTTATAAGGGTGTTAGAAGGAAATCAGCTGTTTGGTAATTGGATCAGATTTCTGGAATCTAAGCTTTTGTTAATGAAAAGTGCTTGCTGCTTTGAAAAGGATTTTGCTTTACTTTTCTTTCTCCAAACATCTCAAAACACAACCAGGGAAGCACAATTGGAATTCATATTGCCATGCACAGGGAAGGTGTATTATTGCATTTTGTTAAAATGTTCTCTTGTTCAATTCCATTTTAATTTCTCTGTGCATTTTCCTCTTGATTACTTCTTGCCTTTCTTGTGCAATTCCCTTTGCTTCCCTTTGTCTAGTAGCCAGTGCATGGATTCTGCATAGGATTTGGATAATTTTCTGGCATGTTCTGAATGGATTCTGGAAAGATTTGGTGAAGTTTCTGATAGATTCTGCATAGGATTTGGAGAAGTTTCTGAGATGTTCTGCCTGGATTCTGGCAAGATTTGGTGAAGATTCTGATAGATTCTGCATAGGATTTGGAGACTTTTCTGGGATGAATAGCTGTTCTGGCTTCAATCTGCTTATTGTGCCTGTATCTGTCTACCAGCCATGCCACTGGGGCTTGGCTATCTGGTTGCCTTGCTGCCGGAGCCTGTTCTGAGTGGGGTTCAAGAGGTCCTGTTCTGGATCTGCAAGCTGCCCATCTTCTGCTGGATCCCTGTGCTGGCATTCTGGTGGCACTATCTGGTGGGCTTTGGCTACATCACCTTGGCTGAGGCTCTGAGTCTGTATCTAGGTCTGGTAGTTCTGATGCTGCTGCACGCAGTTCTGATGGAACTGAGAGGCATAGCTGATCTGCTGAGAACTCATAAGATTCAGCTGGACATTCTGATAAAACCCCGCCTGTGAGGCCTCTGAGGACAAAAGTCTGAGTGTTGGGGTTTGGGTTTCTGAAGCTCTTCTTGGAATCTGTCTGGATACTATACCATGCCCTCTGGACAAGGTCAGAACATGAGTTTTTTTGGCAATACTAAAATTAAATTAGGCTAATTGACTTTCAGTATTGGAGATAAAACTGGAGTTGGGAAAACAGTTTCTACTATTGCCATGTTGGGTCCACTATTGGCCATGCCCTCTGGACAAGGTCAGAACGTGAGTTTTTTGGCAATACTAAAATCAAATTAAGCTAATTGACTATTAGCATTGGAGATAAAACTGGAGTTGGGGAAAAAAAAGTTTCTACTATTGACAAGGTATCATTATTGGCTAGACAACATTATTTATATATATAATCAAGACTTGGAGATCTTCCACCGATTTCTGCGGTAGCTCAGAGTTGCGTGTTTTCAGAGGCCGATGTGCCATCGGCCATTCCGACTCTTGGGACGATCTACAATGCTGCCATGGCCACTGTATTCTTGCTACTTTGTTCCACAAATTCTTTCAAATGTCCTATGGTTCTTGGTGAAATCCCTATGTTCATGGTGTTTTTCACTCCAAGTTTCCATCATTTTACCAGGTGAAAGCCCAAGTTTCCACATGTTTCCACCCCCCCCAAGGTGACGTCCTTCTTGAGCCGCTTGGGCCGTGCTGCGCGGCTGGAGTACTTCAATCCTTTCACGGCCAAGACTAGCGGAGCCGCGGCTCCAAAAGATCAGCTTCGGCGCAAGAAAGTATGCAGTGGAGTGGGGATATGAGATTTAAAGGTGATTTACAGGTGATTAATGGTGATTCAAAGGTGAGTAAAGGTGATGCATGGGATGATTTATTATTTTTTGTTATTTGAGTGAAATGACTTGGAATTAATGTGATACTAAAAATTAATTAGATGATGAGATGGTTAATATCTGTTAGTTCAACATAGCTATGGAACAGCACCATTCTTTATTATAGAAATATATATGCAGTATATATATAAATATATATATGGGTAAATCATCTATAAATAGGCAATTTTCCATACTAGTAGCTATGTCAAATAACCAGAGGGATCCAGAGGATAACATCTAACGGTGATGAATGGTGATTTATGTGGAATATCATTGGAATTTATCATAGGTGAATTGAAAAGGATAACAATCTAGGTGATATTCCAGTAGGAGAACGTGATTAATGGGGGGAAACCCATTTGGGCACGGTTCCAATCGCACAAATGATGATTTTTGGGATGGCTTATGGTGGGAGCCTATAGGAAGATCATAGGAAATTCAAAGGAATATCATGGGAATACCCTCTGGTAAACTAACATAGCTATGGAAAATTGCCATTTATAGTGGATTTTCCCATTGAAAATTGTGATTTTCTATAGTTTTTTGTATGTTTACCGGAGGGTAGATGGATGATCACATCAAAGGTAGATCGCCAGGGCTGGAAACCAGCTGTGCTATGGGACAAGCTATGGACCACCGGCTTCGACGACTGCTGACAGGCTAACAGAGAGAGGGACGGACGGACGGATGGATGGACAGAGAGAGACACATAATATATATATATATTATATATATATACAATGTAAAATATAGTATATGTATATAATATGTATATATATATATATTACATATATAATATATAAGATATATTTTATTTAATATATATATATTTATAATATATATAATATATAATTTACAATATATATAATATATATAGGTGGTTTCAAACATTGTTTTTCCATGTATTGGGAATAATCATCCCAACTGAGAAAATCATATATCAGGTTGGTGGTTTGGAACCATGGAATGTTATGACTTTCCATTCAGTTTGGAATTTCATCATCCCACATGACTTGCATATTTTTCAGAGGGTTGGTCAACCACCAACCAGTATATATATATGTATGTATGTATGTATGTATATGTGTGTGTGTAGATTTAGATTTAGAATTATTCTTGGAGATAGATATAGGTGGATGGATAAATAGATAGAAAGATGAATAGCTAGATAGATCGGATATTTGAATCGTGTGAATATGATGCGATATATCACGCAGCCAGCATGAAAGTCGGGTTGCACATTGTATAGCCTACCCGCTGCCCAATTTCTGAATTTCATGAACATGGTCCGACTCTGGATCCGAAGTCACAGCCCATCAGCTTCCGAGGGGATTCCTTTCTTGTTCTCGGATCCGTAGAGGATGATCCCCGGCCTCAGGAACTTCCCATCAGGCGGATGACCAGACCACACCCTTCGACCAAAGCTTCACGAAACTCCTCACAGGCGGAGGGAGGGAGAGGTGCATATTTACCGTAGTGCCATTATATACAATTAAATACGGGAATTATATGTAGCTAAAGTATTTCACAATGTAAGTTTTTGTTTAAAGATTATGTGTTACATTTCTCTTTGTTTTCTTTCTGCATATACACTATATATATATATCGGTATGCACGTGTGTATGATCCAAGATGTGCAGCTTGTCCAAGCACACTTCTCAGTGAGAAGCCGTCCCAAAAGTCATCAGAAGGGAGGTGAGTTTTGGTTTGCCAAATGTAGGTTGCATCCATGAGAAATCACCAAAGAATTACCCTCTGGTTTTGTCAAAATAGCTCTGGAAAATCGCGATAGAAATAGTGAGTTTCCCATTGAAAATGGTGATTTTCCATAGTTATGTTAGTTTACCAGAGGGTAGAATGCCCTTAGAAAATCAAGAGACTCATGGAATGCGCATGGAAATGTAATTTTGATTGGGGAAAACATTGAAAATATTGAAATATTCCGGAAATGCTCAAGATTAGTCTGTTGGGAAATGTCCGATTTGTTGATGTGGTGTTTTAAACAAGTTAAATCAGTTAAATCTACAAAACATTTTTCACCCAAGGTGTAGATATCTAAAGATCCCGGTTTCCCATTCGATATCTGGTTGGTGGTTTGGAACATGAATTTTATTTTTCCATTCAGTGGGAATTTCATAATCCCAACTGACTAACTCATATTTTTCAGAGGGGTAGGTATACCACCAACCAGATACAAACTACACATACATATATAAAAGAGAAGGTGTAGATATCATCTATAGATCCCGGTTTCCCATTCTATAGATAGATCATTTCCTCGGGTTTCCCCCGGTTTAACAGGATCCACTGCCAACCCACTGCGCTCAGGTGCCCAGTACCACCTGGAGACCGTGGGACCCTACGCGCGGCTCCATTTGACGGTGCACGGAGCTGCCAAGCTGCGCCTTGGCGGTGACAGCGCTGTGACGTGTGAGGACTGAGGAACACAGGGGAGTTTCAACAGTTTCACCAAAAAAAAGGATGAGATTCACTGGATTTTAGATACATGAGATGATTTCATTAAAAACAATACGTTTCAGGTATCAGGAAATGGGAACTCAACAAGTGGTTTTCGGCAAAAAATGGACATAGAGATGGAAAATGATGGAAATAAGATGAACAATTGTGGTTTTACAAACCAGACAGTGGGCGTCTAACCGCCAAGAAAATGGGACTCAGAGGAGAAACCCAGGTTTTTCCAAAGCCAAGAAGGGAAGCAACAACTTCAAGGATTAGATGAGAGACCTCGGGATCAACAAGTATCATACTATGACTCAGCGAGTGATGGAAATTCCTGTGAATGTGGCACTAGGTTGACTCGTTCACAATTAGCTCAACTTTTTGTGGATAGGATTCCTGGCGATGCCATCACTAGGTCGATAGGTTTTTCATACACCAACAAACTTATGTTTTTAGTTAGCTTAGGCTAGGTATTTTCGGTTTGTCTGAAAATCGTGTGGCCATCCTCATCCATTGCAACTCATCCAAGGCTGGCGCAGGACTACTGCGGCACCTCGGACCCCTACGTGGAGATCTACGTCAACGACGTGAAGAAGGCGGTGTTTTTTGGAATCATTGGACGGTGACGGGGAAATGGTTACTCAATGGGGAAATATGTTTTAATTACTAATTGGAATGAGAGAATGGTTCACCAACCTAGAAAGTTGGGAAAAGATGGGAAAATGGTAACATCTGTTGTAACTTTCATGGTTTTTCCCACTTGGTTTCACTTACTGTATGTTTGGGCGTCCAACTTGCCAAACATGGAGATCTGTAGGAATGCAACTCTCACATCAACTTAGTACGTGGCTAAGCAACGTAGTTATGACATGTTATGACATGTTATGACATGGTATGACCAATTGACATTCTATTGGGGGTAGCCCCCATTTAGGAACTTACTAACCAGAGTTATATCCCCTTATAACTGGGCATGTGAATGTACATGATGGGTTACAACTGACCAGTGAACAGGAATGGGAGCAGGGTGCCTTTCAGAGTACGTCAGGGTACGTGTGTGAATATGGCTAGATCAAAAGATGGATGGACATAATTGTTCACTATTTTTCAATCTTATAGATACAACGGATTCCGTCAAATTTTTCATTTAAAAAGGGGATCGCTGATCTTGGCATTTGTATGTGATTACCCATCCATTTTGTTTGGGGCAGAGTTGATCCTCACTACACCTAGGTCATCATGTGTTTATGGTTTAAGGGAACTGCCACCTGCCAGAATGGACCGTGGTTGAACAGCTATGGTCAACATCATGTGGTCTATTTCCAGAATCTTAAGTTGATCTGTTTGACATGTCAGCACACTCCACGTACCAGGGGAAAAGCCACCATCAGAACTTCACGCTGAATCCACGCTGGAACCACTCGGAAGCTGGGACAATGATCATGCGCTCCAAAAATGGGTACCGGGTTCACACTGGGTTGATACATGATCATGCATGATCTCTACGGATGAAAACTAAGGTTTATGGTCATTCTGTTGATTTCCATTTGGATCGATTCGTTCATTTGGGTTTGATTTGAAAATAGTGCACCTCTAAATCAATGATCATACTTTTCCAAAAAAAAAATGTGCGAAAAAGTTGCCATTTCGGTGTATACCCCATTTTCAGACACAGCCATTGGGTAAATCCACCATTGAAGGAATCTACGATGGGAATCGTCGTGGGCATGTACTGAGTGGTTTGATGAAGTATCCACCAAATATCCATGAAATATCCATGAAATATCCATAAGATCACCAGATGTTTCAACTTTCAACCATGTTTTCTCCATACCTGCCTCGGATCCTAGGATCAAGGAGAAAGGACTCAGATTGACTCCAATAGATTAGAACCAGCCAGTGCCAATTGCTGGCGGGAAGCGTGCGCCGTGATGCCAACCCAAGGCTCTGACGCATTTGCGTTCCCCAGTGTCGTGTTCTTCATCAATAATTACCCAGGCGGAGGTTTCCTTATAGGGGGGGTACTCCAAAATGGATGGCTTATAAGGGAAAATCCAATTGGAATTGATGGTTTAAGGATTGCTTTATTTTAGGAAACCCCATGTCTAGTTGGAAAAGAAATGAATTGTCAATGTCAGGAGTCTCAAAGATCTCTGCCCGGGATAAACCTCAATAGCCCATCAACAGGGTTGATAGGCACAAGGGGAAGAAATGGCGGCTTTGACCTCTATATTTACCCTTTGGTAAACTCGCATAGCTCTGGAAAATCACAACTTGTCAGAGGTAAACCAACTGGTCATTTGTTTATAGTTGATTTACCTATTAAATGCTATGTTTCCTAGTTATATTCATTTACCAGAGGGATCCAAAGGGTAAACTTCCCCTTTCCTATAGTTTTCCTATGAATTTCCCATTAAAACCAGAGGATACCCAAGTTACTCTTCTGATTCTTCTGTGCCTGGGGCGGCCGGGGATCAGTGTCACCGAGGCGGTCCTGGATATTTGGTCTCCCTTCTCGATCATCACTTTACGCATCATGGATTGGGACCGTGTCACTGGATACTTCGATGGCGGGAAAATCTGTGGCGAACTAAACTGGTGCTGAATCTGATGGATACATCACCTATTTTGGTCGCGAAATTATCGTGAAAAACTTTCCGAACTATCCCTGAACCATCCCTGAAGCATCATTCCTGGCTTGCATTAACCATGTTTGCTGGTGAAATCAAATTTAATGGTCACAGGGATCTTGGTGGATCGTTAATATCCAGTATGTATAAATCATTATGACCTGATCATGTTGAAGGGCTCCAACCCATGAGTTTTACATGTTGGTTGCTTCATATCCAATGTTCCCAAAGATGATGTTTCCTGAGAGTAATCAAAAGCCAGCCAGAAGGTACATTTACACACATCTATAATCACACACACACATATATATATATATACATAGTGTTTTTTTTCTGGTTCCCGACTTTGATCTTTGTACCGTGTACTACTGCTTGACCGTCTTGTCGATCTAGATTCTCACCATGGACTCCTTGCCGGAGTTCGCCAGAGTGTTCACCATGGCTCATTACTACATCTTCGAGATAATGACGGGCACCAGGATCAAGGTGTTGTTCAGCAGGTCGTTGAAGACCTTGGCCAACCCCGTGGATACCCTCTAGTAAACAAACAAAAAGCGAACTGGAAAATGTCTATAGAAATAGTTGATTTACCCATTAGAAATTGTGATTTTCCATGGTTATGTTAGTTCACCGGAGGGTATCTTGATTAGCCCGAACTTCACATGAAGACCAGGTCCTTGGAGACCAACCAGATCATCTCGAATTTCGAGTTCTTGACGGGTTTCAAGAAGACAATGAAGGAGGTCCCCATATATTTTTTCTAATTCGATAGATGTACAGATATCCTACAGATTGGATCCATCTTGTGAAAATTGCATTTTTTTGGGGGCCAAGACTTAGAATTTTCATGGAAACGACCACCAGGTTGGGTACCATAAAGCCCCCTACCCGGTAAGTCTCTTTCATAACACCCATCAAATCCACCAGCCAGCATCATCCAACTACAATAAAAAAAATGTTGGTTATATAGATAAATATAGATTATACTAACGGTTAAGATTTAAGTGATGATGATAGATAAATATGTATAAAGATTACTCAGCTAAATAATGATGATTACAAGAAATATAGATCAGATTGTTTGTTTTCCCATCAACCAAATAGATTCAGGCTTAAGGATTGATGGGGACACCTCCCCATTCTATGAGGAATTTACTAGTGATATACCTGTGATATATAAGCAACAACTTGCAGGGTGGCGCCCTCTAGCTATAAGTTTATAAACCCCATGAAGTATAGATATATCTACCATAAGTCCTAGTGGAATTGGAGTTATGTTCAACATCTCAGCTAACTATTTGGCACCAAGTTAAAATCCAACTTGGCATAAATCAGCAAACATATATATTGTATAATTACATCCCATGAAATCCCACATTTTTCGAGTTCACTCAGCATTTTCCTACGTTTCTTCCCATGGTGCATCATCCCATATGCTCCATGGAATATTTACCAACATTTGCCCTAAAAAACACCCAGTTTTGTAGGTAAATATACCAGCACCATGGAGCATATGGGTCATCAAATCCCAATGGTTCATCATAAATTCGAAAAAATAATTGAATAAATCCCAATAAATCCACCATTTTCCCATAGATTTTCCCATAAAAGCACCATTTTCCCCATTGTTTTTCCAGGTGAGCCAACACGACCCCATCGGCTTCGTGGACTTCTGCGTGGCAGATCTGGAACCCAACGGCACGGGGCTGCGGGGATGGTACCTGGGCGGATTTTGGGGGAATTTTTGGCCGGGATTTCTATGGATTTCTCGGATTCACCTGAGATTTTGGGGATATTTTTTTTGGAATTCACTTGATTTCACTGCGATGAAAATGGGGATTTTACAAGTTGATCAGTTGATTTAAGCCTATTGAAGCAAGAAAAAGGGGAGTTCACCGAAGAAACCTTGTCATCCATGGCAGTCCCCAATCGAAGTAAACTCAGACGAACACAGATTCATTTTGTTTAGAACAAACATTTCTAGCGCAAGATCCCATGTGCTAGGTGAAATGAACGTTGCTGTCCCAACCCCATCACGTAACGTAGCACATCTCTAGCCTCTAGCACGACACATCTGTGCCGTAAGATCCATAAGGTAGCATCACGTGAGTGCAAGTGCCAAGGGGCATTATTAGCCCCCCAAAAGCTGATGTACGTGGAGAAAAATGCTCAAAAACCATCCGTGCCTATGGGAATTCTGTCGCAAGAAACGCGCGTTTCTTTCGGGCGACCGAGCCTAGAAGATTGGATTTTTTTTAGTGATTGGACCGAGCCTAGTTCCATCAGATTCACTAGAGATTAGACTCCTGGATTAGATAACTGGTTGTTGGTTTAGAACATGTTTTTTCTCCATATATTGGGAATAATCATCCCAACTGACTAATATTTTTCAGAGGGGTTGAAACCACCAACCAGATAATGCATATTATTAGATTCAATGATTTGATAGGATTTGGAGTAGACTGGATGGATTTTTTTGACAAGGGGAAACAACGAAAATGCATGGATGGATAGACAAGTAGGCAGATAGATCGAGACATAATGGTTGATGTATCTCTTGTGAACACTTGGCAGACATTGTCAAGGATGTGAAGTATTGACAAGGATGAGTAGTTTACATGGAAACACGTGACGGTTTCCTAAATTTGGGGGACCCGCAAATCATCCAAAATTATTGAACCTATGGGTTTGGGGATCCAGCAATTTAAGAACCCCCCATGTGGGTAAAAGAGAAAATCATTACCAAATTGGGATAGAACCATCAACAAATTGGAATTTGAACCAATCAAAGTGGAACTTAAACACCAAATAGATAGTGGAATAATCATCCAGACATGATGCTTGCTTGCTTGCTTGCTTGCTTGCTTGCTTGCTTGCTTGGTTGGTTGGTTGGTTGGTTGGTTGGTTGGTTGGTTGGTTATTGAAGGGCCATGGCGGCCATGGCACATGATCCAGGGATGCTCTGAGATGACCGAAAAGAGCCGACGAGCCCCCGAGCCATCCCGAGCCGTGGTTCCGAGGCTGGAGGTGAGGAAGATGAAACACATGGCCACGAATGCTAAGCGACGTTTCTTTCAACACAGGCAGGGTGTGTTTGAAGTCGTTGGATTTTCCTCCCAAAGGCCACAGAATGGCAGGATTTTTGTGTTGAAGGGGGGAAGAATTGGAAATATCATGAAATAGATGGAAATAGAAACAACCCCGGGCCCCATGATCCCTGGCCAATTTTTTTTTCAGGCGCTTGCGCGACGACGCCTTGTCCGAGGAGGAGAATGAGGATGAGGTCGCCGCCGATGCCGAGGGGATCGAGTCGGTGGCCATGGAGGGAGCCGAAGGCACAAGTGGGAACGATGGGAATGCGAATTGTTACCCTCTGGTAAACTGTTACACAACTATGGAAAATCACCATTTGTAATGGGTAAAGCAACGAACTAAATATCTTTATAAATTGTTTATTATGGTTTATTATATGGTTTATATATCATATGGTTTATTATGGTTTATTGTATGCATTATTAGGTCTATTGGGGTGCACATCAATTCTTCTGACGAGAAGAGTGTACTACCCATAGCTATCCCGGCGAAAGGCCGGGGTGGATTTTTCGTAGCGGAGGCCCCCGACTTCACGGTGAATCCTATGGGTGAATCCTATGGGTCCTGGTGTACATACCCTCTGGTTGTGACTAACAGTTCGCCATGGAAAGATCCACCCATTCTTAAGAACGGTAAACCATCTATTTCTATGGGCCATCTTTGCCATTTTCCATGGCTATGTTAAATAACCAGAGGGTAATATATATATAGCTGGTTGGTGGTTTGGAACATGAATGGATGATGACTTTCCATTCAGTTGGGAATTTCAGAAAGTCCCAACTGACGAACTCCATCATTTTTCCGAGGGGTAGGTCAACCACCAACCACATAGTCATGGGTGGTATATAGTGGGTCTACGAACCCACTTATAACTGGCTGGTGGTTTTTAAATTTGTTGTGATGTTTCAGCCCTATGACTGTGATGTTTTTCCCCAATGGCTATATACCGAATATCATATTTTTCAGGGATGGCTCAACCACAAGCTAGATAAGCTATCCGTAAGTTTCGTTCATGCTTGTGGGTATACACATATAAAAACAGGGATGATGTAAATGTTCAGTGAACCGCAAGTGGTTACTGTAATGGGATGGTTTATGGCATTGGGTTTGCCACTTAATGTCAACCCTGGATTGACGAACCCTGATCATAAATTGGGTTGGTGACGTCCAAAAGTGTGATAAATTACTATCAAAATTGCTAGCCCTTTGAATAAAATGGGGTCTGATTGATCCCGGTTTAACATGATCCATATTCAGTTCACTAGGGAGCCGAGCTGACCAAGTCATCCCTTTGAAAAATGACCCTGTGCAGGAATCTCACCGCTGCCGGTGACGCATTTGGTGAACAACGCCGGGATGAAGATGCTGAATAGAAGGTTGAAGCCTGGCAGTCATCCTGGGATTGTGAAAAATCCGGAAATAGTAACTCAAAGGGCCAAAGCAGCCAATGCCAGGGTTGGAGAGTGAATTCAGTGAATGCCTATAGACGTAAAGTTGTTTGCAGCCGTTCTTTCTGTTTTCTCTGGTTGGCTCATTTGGGTGCGACCTCAGTGATCTTTTTGGGACCTTTGCCACCAGATATCCGAGGTTTGGGTTTGAACATGGACATACATGATGGTGATTAATTAAAGGGAGGCATCTCATCCAAAACAGGAAATGTAAGCTTTAGAAACATCATATATAATTTTCCCATGATCATTCCAAGTTGAAAACTTGGTGGTTCAAGGAAGCATAGTCATAGCATGTCATCAAACATATTTAATATCAACCGCAAACTATTTGGGTTCTACTTCTTTCTACTTGAGGTTTTCAAACTGGTCCCTTCCCCGTAATATTGGGTTGGAACCTTGGTGATGGGGGGCAGGGGATCACCTGAAAGTTTTGGATTTCTCAATGCTTTGGAAAATGTCAGGAGAGAATCCGTGGGAAAGCTTGTTTCCCACCATAATTTGTGTAGGGCTTTCCGACTTCACCCTTTCCGGTAAAAAACACAAAGCAATGTTTGGAATTTCCCGCTGCAATCTTAGAGTGCCGGAGGGGTATCTGCGATCAGATACGATCAGCAATGCATAGGGCCCCACCACTTACATCCACTACAACGATAGCTAAGTTGGTTTATAAGTCCAAGAAGTAATACTTACCAACGATCGTATTCATTGGGTTTATAAAGCAACAATACCCTCTGGTAAACTAACATAGCTATGGAACATGGCCATTTAGTTCGTTGATATACCCATGAAAAATGCTGATGTTTTTCCATAGTTTTTTGTATGTTTACCAGAGAGTAACCAACATTCACATCACGTTTGGGCCCATGATCCACCATGTCTTTTCTCGGGTCTCCCTTAAGGAACAGTTTCCACTTCGCCGAGCGAAAGGCCAAGCTGAAAGCGGGCATGTGTCTTGCTGATCCGAGGGTTGGGCCGGGCCCTTGGGAAGATGGTTGGAGCTGCAGGCTGGACCCTTGGAATATGGAAAGATATGGAAAGCGGTAAGATATGTGAAAAATTGTGAAAAGGTATGGTCAAGCGGTTCAATCCCAATTCTTGTTGCTTATACCCTCTAGTAATCAAACATCAGCTGGAAAATCTGCCATTTAGTTCCTTGATTTTCATGGATTTTCCACACCATAACACCATCCATTTCGTTGGGGCATTGTCCAGCCACCGTTTGACGACGGTCGATATTCCTGTTAAGACCCCCAAGTAGCAACCCTTCCCTCCATCACAAACAGTTCAGTGGTTAGTCATTGGTGAAAACAACTGACCAAATCACTGATGAAATACCTAGTTAGTCACCATTCTTTGCCAATCCCATGGCCCATGGCTAAGTACCAGTGTAATCCATGGCCTTTCGAGGGTCTTCCCGTTGATAAGTGATAAGGGGGTTATACTTGGAGCATCATCCCTTTGCCACTTAGCAAGTGGTGAGCAACGGAGAATAACCATCAAACGATATCACCATTTTGATGGGCTAAATCGGTAAAGCTCAATGACAATAATAGAGCCATAGGAAAGCCAAAAAAAAATACCACTATAGTCCAATGATTTTCCAATCTTAATGAAGTACCAGCTTCTTCTGCCAGGCTGGCAGACTCCTGAGTTTCTGGGATTTGTTTGGGATACCCCTAGTTATCCCCTTTTTTTATCAATCTAAATCATCACAAAAAGCAGCACCCAGGTTATCCCATGTTATCCCCTAGTTATCAATGGGGATACCCTAGCCCAGGAAGGCCATGAAGAGTCGCGCCAAGATGCCCAACTGCTGCAGCCTCGAGCGCCGCGACGCCAACGCAGCGGCCGTGGCCGCGTCCAGCGCGCCGCCGTCCCTGGCGCCGTCGCCCAACGCGTCGCCGGCGCCGTCGCCCAACCTGGGAATCGGGGCAGGGAAGCTGCGATTTCCACGGCTGAGGCGGGTAAACCTTTGGGACAAATGTGGGAAAATGTGCGGGGACCGGGCTGGAGAATTTGGAGCAACAACAGGAAAAAAAATAATGATTTGGAATTTAGGTGACTTGGGATGACTTACTAGTGCTAAACGTAGGGAATGAGGGAATTGGGAATGGGATGATTGTGAAAATAGTTATGGATCATTCTTCCATTCCATTCCCTAGTTTTAGCACCAGTAAGATGAAAGCTGAAGAATGTGGAAAGAACACCAGAAAATCCGCCATGATCTGAACTTTGTGACTTGAGATGACGTTCACTAGTTGAATTTTTGGCTGTGAAAAATTGTGCAAATTTATGGGGTATTCACCGTTTTCACACACAATTGTGGGCAATTTCTGTGTGTGTGTCATGTTTTGTTGCAGGGCGTTGGTGAAGTTCCATGACATGCGGTTTTTTTTGGGCTGGGCAGAGGCATCAAGAAAAAGGAACGTGACATTGCAGGAAATGGAACCAAGTAACAGTGCCCAAGAGAACAGGGTGAAGGAAACTTGAAACAGCGCTTTGCATGGAAGTTATTCCACTGATGGTTTCATTTCAGGTGTCGCTTGTGGGGACTTGAAAGATCACCAGAGTGTAGGATGTGCCGCTGGGATGATGTGCATAGCATGCATAGCTGCGCCAGGGGGCACAAGAAAGCCAAGAATGCAGGTGAAGTGGAAGTCTCCATGCGTTTGGATGCTTGGTTCGTTGGTGATGGGGGTCCACTTCACTTCGATCCTTTTGTTTTTGATTGTTTGTGTGTTTTCTGGATGGGGTGGTCAATGTGGAAAGCACCCGGATATCCAGGCTAAATTCATTTTGTAGGGTTGATCCAAAATCGAAATGGGATGTAGAATAATTAAGCTGCGCTTTATTTGAGGTTTGCTCGTTTGCTCCATTATTCCCATTGGTGGTTCTCGGATGGGGTTGTAACCTACCATATGAAAGCACAAGCAGAAAATTCCTGAAATTTGCTTGGTCCGATTCTCGTTTCTAGCCACTGTGAGATAGCTACACGCGCTACTTTGTGCCAAAGGACAGATGTCTTTGACACATTTGTTCCGTCCATTTACTGAAACATTTTGCGCGCGCGTGTTTTCAGACTGGCTGTGCTTTGAATCAGTTCATGTCAGCCTGGGCAACGAATTGATGATACTCCCACATGACCAGCAGCATGCCTCACTTACAGGGCCCCATGTCCTAGCAAAGCATCGCCTATCCTATTTAGATACCAAAAGTCAAGGTACCAAATTTTCATTTTCAGAACGGACCTAGAAAGGTAGTCCCTACTGTTTTGATGCTGTTTACACCTGTCAATCTTTGGTGCGGTGAGTGTGACTTTCTGCTTGGAGGAGCATCCCAGTACGCAACTGGTTCACATTTCCAGCTGGAAAGTTCCCAATTTCTAGGGTTATCCCAGATATCAATGGTTTTTGTATGTTTTTGTCACATGTCATACCCTCCGGTAAACATACCAAAAAAAACATTTAAACAAATTAATTATGGAAAGTCAAGTCACTTTTTTTTATGGATAAATCATTTCAACTATTTCTATGGTCATTTTCAAGTTCCCAAACTGTTAGCCCATATGCTCCATGTATGGACTCATTTGCCCAAAAAATCACCCAAATGTAGGTAAATATACCATACATGGAGCATATGGGTAGGTTTACCAGAGGGGTACCCCCAGTCACCGTTCCGTTCAAGGAGACCACCTGCAGGACGGACGTTCCGAAGGAAACGGCCGGCACGCCCGTCTTGGAAGTGCTGTACACTGCGGTCCTCATGCCCAGTAGGTGCCATGGGGATGGTATTCAACTTGGACTCATACGGGTGCATATCTGTATTTATATATATTTAATATATATATATACACCTTGAGTCTCCAACACCCCCCGGATTTTTTTGAGACTCCAGGTATATATATATAAATACAGTGTATATATATATATGTGTGTGTGTCTATCTCTGTGTGTGTGTACATATTTGATGTTGATGATGATGTGATGATGATGAATATCATCCAAAACGGATCGTAGAGTCGTAGACACCCTGCTGATGTTTGTCTCCTCACTAAGGTTAAAGGTGTTTCACTGGGTTTTTTTACCCCACTGAGTTTGGATATCAGGTGTATAACTGGGGTATAACACTAAGGTTCTCCAAGTATAATTGGCTGCTTGGTAGTTGGGAACCAAAAATTTGTTTGTTCCATTCAGTTGTGAATTTCATCATCCCAACTGACGAAGTCCATCATTTTTCAGGGTTGGTTGAAACCACCAACCAGCCATTATTAACCATCATTAATCATTATTAACCATCATTAAATCACCATTAATTAATCACCATAAATGTCTGTTTATTGGGGAAATCGATGATGGACCATAATCACTTTGGATAGGATTCAAGTAGTAGAGCCGCCAGGATCAGCGATGTGGTGAAGAGTGCTGAGTGGTTTGCTTGCTGCCTGCCAGAGCCGAAGCTTGGCGGCTGTTACGGCGGCGGCGAACGAAACTACCCAGGAATCGTAAGTGGGTTATCAGTTATACGTTATAACCCAACTCTCTCCCTCACTCTATTTATTTCATAAAATATTAGATATATATATATATATTATATCATATATTGTGTCTATATAATATATTTATATTATATTATATTATATTATATTATTTTATATTATTTTATATTATATTATTTTATATTATATTATGCAATACTACATTTTATTATATATATATTTATTATATATAGATATTATTTAGCTTTTTTTAAAGTCTCGTAAAAGGTGTTTTAAAGCTTCTAGGCAAAAGGTGAGCGTAGGGGGTACGAGTGCAAATGAACGTGGTGACGGACGTGCGTACGACCCAGCGTACGTGTAAGCGTACGAGTGGACGGACGCGTGGCGTACGAGTGGACGGACGTGTGCGTACGAGTGGACGGACGTGTGAGCGTACGTACGTGCGTCGACACGTTCACTCGTCACGTGCGCGCGCACGTACGAAAATAAGGTCGACTCGAGTCGGCCTTATTTCTGTACGTCTCGGTTTTTCCTTACATATATATTTTTTATTATACATTATATTTAATATATTATATTTAATATATTATATATTATATTTTATTTAATATATATATATTAAAATATTATATATTTTCATTATATTTTTATTTTACTATATATTATTTAATAATATATATTATATTTTTATATTGTCATCATATTTTCTATATTTTTCATCATTTATTATATATTATATATTATATATTATTTATTGTATATTTATTTTATATATTATATATTATTTATTTTATATTTTATATATAATATAGTCTTTATATATATTAATCATATAATATAATATATATAATAATATATATATATATGTTATATATATATATAATATATATATGTTATATATATGTTTTATATATATACATTAAAGTATATATATATATTATTTATGTATATTATATATACATTATTTATGTATATTATTGTTTATTATATGGTACATATATATATATATATTAATTTATTTATATATATATACATATATATATATATAATAGTTAGGGTAAGTAGGACTAGTCCAGCTGTAACCAACTGGGGTGTAACTTTTTGTTTGACCCACTTACTGGGTTTTTATGCGCCAAGTAGAACCATGTAGACCACGAATGGTGAGCCAGTTGGAGCTACGAATTGAGTCTCCCAATCACATGATAGATGGCTATTTGATGGTGGGATTTGTAGCCATGGTTCACTGGCTGAACCTGTTCATTTCATTTCTGATTTATTGATATATCAATGATATAATAATGACATAATATGATATAACCAACAGAAATCTTGCGCAAAATGCGGTGCTTTGCTGTTTACCTTTGATTTACCCATGAGAGATTGACCCAGCAAGACTTGACCGGGGATTTCCGGCTGAGGATCTTTCGAGACGAAGAAACCTGGTCCTTGGTGGCCCAGCGGAACCATATGGAGCCATACGGGTGTTGACGGCGAAGATGATGATTACCCTCTGGTTATGACTAACAGTTTGCCATGGTATTTGCCCTCTGGATTTATAGTGATTTAATGGGATTCTATAGTGATTCAATGGGATATTAATGGGATATACCCTCTGGTTATGACTAACATAGCCATGGAAAATGATGGCCCATTGAAATAGATGGTTTACCGAACTTAAAAATGGGTGGATCTTTCCATGGCGATGTTTAATAACCAGATCGTTACTTGCCAACAAAACCTTGGTTTTGCGGGTTTTTATTGGGTTTTGAAGTGACGACTGGCATTTTTTGGCGTTGGGGAAGCTACTGCAAAAGCTGTGCAAAAAAAATACATACAAATCCAAAATATGGCTGTCGTAAAAAAACAAACGCTACTCTAACCATGTTTTTCCGATGTTTGGTGCTGTCCTAGGCCTCCATCAAGATGTTGGTGGAGGAAGTGGTGGAACTGATGGATATGTTGTTACAGGTGCTGGTCATTCCTCCCATGACACTTGGATGGCCTTGACATCTGGAAGACCCTGGAAGTGCTGGTTTTCTTGTTGTGGATCTGCCAAGGGCTCTCTGGGAATTTCAACGGATTTTGTCCGCTGTTGGAGAAATGTGGTGCTTCAAAAACTCGGATGTGCTGAGTCTGTGATGTGTTTTTTTCCTGTTTCATCCACTTGTTTCATTTTTGAACACCTTCAGCAACAGAAAATCGCGTAACTGGACTTCAAAGGGGCAAATCCGTGACCCCTGGAACGAAGATAGTTTGACTGTGGAATGATGGCCTCCTTTAAGGCCCCATGGAAAGCCGCACCATCCAATCATCTCTCAGGAACATTGTCTTGCTGATCGTGGGGTGGCCGCCCGGCAGCCAGTTGTTGAAAAAAGGGATCCGATTTTTCGCCGAGGCTTTGCCGATTGATCCATGACCGTTTTTTGAACATGGGGATTTCATGGGATGTTACCATCAAATCCAACAACAGAAGGGATTTGTTTGGATATAATAAGAATATGAAGGGATATATCTGGTATATTCTGGAATTAGAATGACCTTACGTCGTTGCGTCACTGGAATAATGGTTGATAATGATAACTATCCCCAGAGGACCGAACTTTTCAGTTATTTTCAGGTTAGTGAATTACAGTATATATCACAGTTCAGCCAAAATGTTTAATTGCGATTTTAATGGCTCAATGGAGATAATGGTGAGAAACAATATAAATCACGATTTTTGGTGAAAGAACCCAATCACATGCTGAAATATGCTCGTTGAAGCGTCTCTCATCCACCCCTGTGAGGAACCCAAGGGTTCTGTATGATTGGTTCCCTGCATGTGGATGATCATAAAATTGTCATTGTGTTCAGATACATGGTTCTTAAGGGTCCTGAACATATTTAATCCATTGAATCCCTTCTTAGGAGATCAAAAAAAACATCCAACTATTGAAAAGATCCTCTGCTTTCTTTTTAAAATATTAATGGTAATTGATATTTGTGGATTATTCACATTCCAAATGACCCAAAAACTGTCCGTTTTTGCAGGAGAAAACGCACCGCTGTCCCCGAGAGCGCCAGGTACTACTGGCCTCTCTCCGTGGCCACGTTGTTATACTTTTGGGCCCCTCGGACCTTGAAATCCACCACTTGGATTATCATTTGACTTAATCACCGGTTATGAAGCATAGTTGTTACATGTTATAACTTTATTTATCTATCTATCTACCTACCTATATCTATATCTACAATATATATATATACTTATATATGTATGATTGTATGTATGTAAATCGGGTAACCATTTTTTTCAGTGGATTTACTGGGTTGTTCACCACTTTGGTGGAATGATCTTTCAAGCAGTCCACGACCAAGTTGCAGTAGACTTCATGGCTGATTTGCCGAAAAATTCGCTGGCGAGTTATACATGGCCAAACAAGGCCTTGGTCTACTGGGTTTCTGACATGCTGCCACTTGGCCAGTGGTGACCTCGCGGTTTGGAGCTCCGCCAACATGGGAGCCAGCTGGAGTACATCCCAGCCATTCCCTGCCTAGAAATGTATGCATTGGGAGTTTGTTTCCTGTAAGCTGCCACCTTATTTTTGCCCAGTGTCAATTTTTTGCAACATGGGTCAACAAGAATGGGCGGTAATTACAATCAGTGCTTATGACAAATCTGCCATTGAACTTAGCCCCATGAGGCAATACAACATGTCAGGTATGACTGGCAAAGAATGGAGAGAGAGAGAGAACAGCGAGGAATTAATGTACAGTAGATGTCACCGCTCAACCATGGGCAAGTTGATTTGTTAGATTTCATCCTCAGGTTTGCAAGACTACTTTTTTTTCTGGACTCTTTGTTGAGATGCCTTTCATCATTTCACTAGAATAATTGGCGTGCAACTCCCTTTCACCAACAAGTTATTTCTTAGTGTTTTGACATGTTGCTTTAGTGGGCCACCTTTATGTCGGATTGTTTGCAGTCATGAGTCATGACCAGTGATTTGGAGCTGATTTTACAGGAGTTACCCTCTGACCATTGAACGTAGCTATGGAACATCACCAATTTCAATAGGTAAATCATGGTAAATCATCTGTAAATGGACCATTGTCGATAGCTATGTCAAACTACGAGAGGGTACAATCCATATCGACCGTCTTGGTGTTTTATGTCCCACATGGCCATACAGTAGCGAGCCAAGACGAAGGCAGCAATTGTCAGATAGATATGGCAGTTCTCAGATATTACTACACAAGCAATGAGCTACTCCCACTTCAAATTTTCAACATCTTTCCCATCCACGAAGTTCATATGGGGATGGGTCAACGCCTTTTTCTTCGCCATGTTGGCGAATAACCATCCATTATCCTCCGGTGAATTAACAGTTCGACCCTTGCAGATGAGGCTTGGAAGATTAGTTTCCACAAAAAATTGCATATTTTCAGGGTCTATTTTAATTTACCAGAGGGTAACCATCTATTAAACAGAGTAGAGGACCAGGCTATCTGACTGCCAGGCTTGACCAGGTCCGGAAAATCGGCCCCAACAGTTGATATTTGCAGGTCGATTGGTCAATGGGAAATCTTCACTGGAAGTTTCCATGTGGTTTTTACCATGTTTTTTATTACATCAAATTGCTTGGGGTGTTCCCTCATGTTGCCATCATCACCAATCCATAGGTGACATCACCAATCCGAGGTGCACTTTACCCTTGTTCCTTCTCGTACCATGTCTTGGGCGTCTTCGTTTACGGCCCCAAAGATGTGTAAAATCACTAGAAAAAATGATGGTTTTGGGATGTTGAATATCAGGGGGAACGGGTTACTGCAAGTTGTTGAATGTTTTTGGGGAGTGAATTTATGGTATAGTAAACTAAATTTATGTGTGCCATGATTTAAGACACATACCCGCATCATTCTTTGCTGGTGATGAAGGGATAATATCTTTTGGTCGTGTGTGTTGTCAAATATCATCCTTTGTTTCAAGAGAGAAGGCCTTTTTGATGTTCCATCCTGCCATGAAACTGCAACCACATGACATTAATGATATGTGTTATGGCTGATTGGTGGTTTCAAACATGTTTTATTTTCCATGATGTATGGGATAGTCCTTCCCATTGACGAACTCCATCATTTTTCAAGATGTTTTTTAAACCATTTTAAACCACCAACCAGTATTTACATATATATTTACTATGGGATTAGTAACATAACACCTATCTGGGTGTTCATCCCACAGTTACGGCATTTGGGGATTTCCCACGGAGGTTTCGTTCGCAAAATCATCGCATTGCTGGGTGATTTTCCAGCTTGCCACGTTGACACCAGAGGGTATCCCATTAAATTCAAGCCCATATGCTCCATGGTGCTGGAATAGTTACCAATATTTGCCCAAAAAATCACCCAAATGTAGGTAAATATACCAGCACCATGGAGCATATGGGAAGATATTCCCATTGAATCCCATGAAATCCCAAGGAACAAAATAGCCTTCCCAAATGCATCACTGTTCTTGGCTGATGGAGTTAGACACCCCCATCCCAGAGCTTTTTTCAGCGCACATCAGCCAGCTGCCGGTTCAATCGAGGGTCCCAAGTTTCTGAAACATTTTCAGGATGGGTTGAAAAAGGCCAGCCAACAATGTATAGATACCCTCTGGTAAACGTTTACATAACTATGGAAAATCACCATGCTAATACCATGCTATTAATGGGTAAATCAACTATAAATGGGACATTTTCAATAGCTATGTTAGTTTACCAGAGGGTAGCCACAGATAGCCATTCAGAACCTCAAATGTCTTTGCTTGAATATACATCGGAAAGCCCCTTTGGTCAGCTGAAATTCCCAAATCATATCCGAATCAACTGACATTTAATTTTCTGAACGTTGGCTGAATTAGGTGTTTTCATATATTGAAACAAGCAAATTCATGTTTGATTTTCATATAATTTCTCCATATGTGGATGAGTTAAAAACTATTATTGCCATATTTGGGGGAGTCCATACGTGATCCATCTATTTTCGACCGAAAATCGTGGGTTTCTGCCCAAAAACGCCCAAAAATTGTCGGCCCGTCAGGTCTTCTTCGTGCTGTTGAGAGATCGGACGGCGTCGAACTGGCTGCTGGCGCATCCAGCGGTGGTGCCACTGAATCGCGACGGTGGGAAATCCGAGGGATCCAACGGTCGTGAACTGGGAACTGGGAACTGGGACACCCCAGTTATGAACTCGTTCGCTCAGTTGGTGCAAAATAAATGACTTTATTTAATGTACTTTAATAGCTACTGTGGGGTATTATGGTAGATAATGTATCTATAGCAAAAAAAATATGGTTTAGCTGCTGTAGTGTTTATGGTGGATAATATATCTATAGTCATATACTATGGTTTATACTGGTTGGTGGTGACTGGAACATTTGGATTATTTTCCATAGTAATTGGGAATAATACTCCATATATAACATTATATAGCCACTATTATTGGTACTATCACCACTATATTATATAACTACCAACCAGTTATGTAGGTATACCACCAACCAGTTACCAACTGATAACTTTCACAGGCACCACCTTGGAGGGATTGCCTGTGGCCGATGACTGATAGTGATGACGGTCAAGAAGTGTCCGTTGGGGGTTTAATAATGGTTAAAAATTGTTAATAATGGTTAATATAAGGTTAATACAGGTTAATGATGTTTCATGATGGTTAACGATGGCCGGGGATCGTTCGACGGTGTTCCCAAGTAGAAATTGGCATAATAGTTCATTTACCCATTAATAGCATGGTGATTTTCCATGATTTTCCATAGTTTTTTTGTATGTTTACCAGAGGGTAGTGGGAAATCTGTTGTCATAAAGGTGTAAAAAAAAACCATGGGTTTTCCCGGTGTAAACTTGTCCCTGGTGGCACCAGGTTTTGAGATGGTGGCCTATTTGAAAAACAGCGGCAGCACCTTGGTTGAGGGATGCAAAATGGAGAGCTCATCACTCAAAAATAGGGATAGATACCCAACATATCCAGCATAGCAAGAAGGGCTAAGCAACAATGCAGTCATGGGAAGCTACAGATTCTTCGCAGCATCCACTGGTACTGTGAACCATGTGTTTAGGCTTGGTCACATAAAAGAGATATCACTGGCAGAGGTTGTGAGTGGGCCAAGGTGGGCTTGGATGGCTCGCAGCCTATTGTGGGTGCAAGCTGGCACCCCAAAGATTGCATAGTGACGGCTAGCATCTGTGGTTCTCAGCATCTCAAGTTGTGTCATGCCCGGATTCGAGTGGTTTGGCTACAAGGTATAAATATGGATAAATGATGATAAATGGGTTTGTCTGAAAATAGGGGCACCCAAATTCTCGTTGACCATTTGCTGGATACCCCCCAAACGGAGGAATGTTTTTTGCCACTGAAAATGGTGTTCATGCTGAGGAGTGCAAGGCCATGTGCCAGCAAAAGAATCCGGCGGTTAGGAGCGGGGTGAGCGTTATCGGGGTGAGCGTTATGGTATCCCTATGCCCTATGGTATCTCTATGCCTATTCCCCATTATTCCCCATGAAATCTAAAGCCGAGGTACTGTTTGAGTTTCACAACCGAATGATAGTGTTGCTTTTATTAGTTTTTCAGCTGCGCCTGCGCCGCGGCTTGGTAGTTGCAGGAGAAACATCATGCTATGCCATCTGGAATGATCATAGAAGGGTCACCTACAATGAGGCCCTCAAGATAGCTAAGTTGGTTTATCGCTACAATAACATGGACTAGCGAACGAAATATAATATATCCAAATATGGGTTATACAAGTTATACCGTAGGAAAACATGCAAAAACTCCACATAACATATTGAAACCAGGTTTTTTGGTCCAGTTTCCTTTGGTTTCACCAGGTTTCACCGGTTGCTCCGCTGAGGCATGGCCTTCTGGTTGAAGCGCTTGGTGAAAGATCGGGGCGGCTGGATCGAAGATCGCACAGCACCTCGCTGCGGTTACCGCAGCTGCTGCAGCTGACCGGTGGGCGCCTTTTGGTATGATGGCAATGGACAAAAAGAATCCATAGGTATCCATAGATCCTCTGGTGTTTATGGTGGATAATATATCTATAGTCATATACTATGATTTATACTGCTTGGTGGTTTGGAACATGAATGGATTATTTTCCATATAATTGGGAATTTCATCATCCCAACTGACTTTCACATTTTTCAGAGGGGTAGGTCAACCACCAACCAGAAAAAATAATCCATAGATCCTCTGGTACATAGCTATGGAAAATACATCGGAAAATGACCGATGTAGAATCATTGATGGGCGATTCTTTTGCCATGTTTTGCCTATTTTCCACATGTTGGTGTTCCATAGCTATGGTAAATTACCAGATGATATTGGGATCTATGGTGGATATTGATATATGTTGATATTCAACGGGGTTGCACTTGGGGCAAAAGAAAAACGGTTAATTATAACGATGGTGATAATATGTGATAATTAACCTCCATAAATTGGGATAGGGTTTGCTTTGATCTTGGACTAAAGCATCAAACCGTTTATTGGGACAAATCCCTGGCAGTCTAATCGGATTTGATGAATGGACTAATGACTGGTTGGTGGTTTGGAACATTTTTTCCCCAATAGTTGGGATGATGATCCAATCTGACTTTCATATTTTTCAGGGGGGGTGAAACCACCAACCAAATGAGATTCGCCCTTTAAGAACGTGCGAACGTTGGTGCCCAGCACTTCAGAAACCCACACATTGCATCAGCCGGTAACCTTTGGGGTTATCCCTTGTATCAGCCCCCATTGCAAGCCATGACACCAGCCATGACAGGATTTAAACCATGTTTTAATCATGGTGAAATTCCCGCAATTCTGACAAGGTGTTTTTTGATATTGACGTAGATACGCAATGATACACACATACATTTAATATTGTATAGCTATAGATATATATATATATGTTTTGCATACATCATATATATTTTATTGTATGTATGGACGAATTATAGTGACCTCAATGTGACGTCACTGGAATAATGGTTACAGTAGATTGCAGGAAATCATCCCCAGATAGCCGAACTTGTTAGTTTGTTTTTTTTTTGGCCTGTGAATCATTATAATTCAGCCAGATGAATAGTATAATGGTGGGCTTTTCATATACGTAGATGATTGCGGGATAACTAGAACAAACCATCCCCTAAACCATGCTTGTGGGTGCCATAATCATCCCATGAATATCCATAACTATAGATATATCTACCATATATTTACCATAAACCATAGGCAATCAATACATATATATATATACCTATACAATATACAGTATATATATATACACAGTATATTATGTATTGATTTGATTATTTGCATTCACATAAACATATATATATACATATGAGTAACCGACAAAATTAGCGGAAGACTAAACTAGTCAGGAGTGGACTTGGGATGTTCACATTTGTGTGAAAACCTTCACAACCGATAGGGGACCACCCACATACTGATACCCTATTTTTACACATACAATAGCATGGAAGTACAAACCTTCAACACCGATAGGGGACCACCCACTCTGGCCATGTCCATTGCGAGTAGTAAGATTTTTTTTGTCCGCCACCCATATATTACATTTGCATCCTCTCTTGTAAACATACAACAAAACTATGGAAGATAACCATGCTATTCATGGGTAAATCAACTATCTCTATGGCCATTGTCAATAGCTATATATGTATGTTTACCAGAGGGTAATTCCTGTTAATACCCCCATTTTGGTTTGGTGAATTCCCATTGAATAGCTATGTATACGTTCAACGTTTCGCCAGAATCTTCTGTCCAGACTGAGGAGCTGAAGGAATTTGCTAAGAGACTCCACAAAGATGGACGTCCAGCTGGGAATCTTAGGGGATGCTGCAGGACATCCCACCATGGGAAAACTGGGACCACTTAATGCTGGTATCCACAAGCTATACAAGTTGGGAGGTTGGTGAAACTGTTGTAACCAAATGTTGGGTTTGAATGTTTGATTTAAAAAAAAAAAACGTGTAACTCGAGTATTCCCAACTGGAGGTGAAGACGCTGATGTGGATGGCGGGTTCGAAGATGACCATCGGAAGTGGCCAGGAGATCGGGATGAGTGGGCTTCCCGAGGGCAAGTACATCGCCAAGAACCTGGCCTCAGGTTGGGTGATCTGACGTGGACCAGAGTCAAGGATGTGCCGCAGAGGAAGGCCGGCTGCTACTTGACCTGTGTTACAGGACGCATAACGCGGGTGATGCACAAGAAGAAGCACCGCTTTTCGTAACAGATCGCAGTGTTAGGATTGGCGTTGGTAAGCCGGTCCCGCTTGTTTGTGGAAGCACTGGAAAGACAGGTGAGTGAGTTACCAAGCCGCCCGCGGCGTTGTTTGGATGTGTTGGCGCCGGACATCGTAATGCTGCCACTGCGCGTGGGATCTAAGGTGGGGACGCTCCAAAGTGGCAGCGTTGCTCCCGGACAAGTATCAGAACATGGTAAACTATGGTAAAGTCCCATGGTCCATGGCACCGCCGCAAACTGGGATATTCGAGGGCCATTTCAGGGACCGATTTATTGGAGGTACCTACATAGTATGTATAGCCTGTGTTTAAGTGTTTTTTTAAAAGGGAGTCTCCCCACAAAATATGGCCCAAACTATGGTACAGTACCCTCTGGTAGTTTAACATAGCTATTGAACATGTACCATAGAAATCAATAGCATGGTGGATCTGTCCAGTTCGTTTTTTGTTAACCTTTACCAGGTCGGGTAAACCTCCATTTTCCTATGTTTATGCAGACGGACCTTTTACCGGCCCACAAATTGGGGTGGGGTGGGGTGGGGTGTGATAGCATTCGTCACTACTGCAAGACATGATGTGAAGCTACGCTACGCATTCGTCACTACTGCAAGACATGATGTGATGCTACGCTACGCATTCGTCACTACTGCAAGACATGATGTGATGCTACGCTACGCATGGGGTGGGGTGGGGTGGGATGGGGTGGGGTGTGATAGCATTCGTCACTACTGCAAGACATGATGTGATGCTACGCTACGCATTCGTCACTACTGCAAGACATGATGGGAGGCTACGCTACGCATTCGTCACTACTGCAAGACATGATGTGATGCTACGCTACGCATTCGTCACTACTGCAAGACATGATGGGAGGCTACGCTACGCATGGGGTGGGGTGGGGTGTGATAGCATTCGTCACTACTGCAAGACATGATGTGAAGCTACGCTACGCATGGGGTGGGGTGGGGTGTGATAGCATTCGTCACTACTGCAAGACATGATGTGATGCTACGCTACGCGTTCGTCACTACTGCAAGACATGATGGGAGGCTACGCTACGCATGGGGTGGGGTGGGGTGTTCCCACATGATGTGATGCTACGCTACGCATTCGTCACTACTGCTAGACATGATGGGAGGCTACGCTACGCATGATGAGAGGCTACGGTACGCTAGGCTACTGGAAATTGATGAAAAAGTCAATTCCAGACAGCATTCGTTCCCAAGTCCAAGGCAAACGCAATGTTTTGTTGTTCAAATACATTCGAAGTCACCCATGGAGATGGGAACACACTGACTTCGACTTGCTGACCGCCACTGGCGAAGCTGTAAGATCTCTCATGCGGTGAAGAGAAAAGACCACTTTGATCGTTCGCCGGGTTTTGAAGCACAAAACCCTGCAAGGGTTGCAAACCACACTAAAACGGATGTTTTTTTTTCATGGTTGTTTCCCACATGAAATCGAGCTGGCGCCACAGCGAAACAAGAATTTTTAAGCAATCATGGGCCGGTGCCAGGTCCGCCGGGTAGTTTAACATAGCTATTGAACATGTACCATAGAAATTGATTTCCCATTAATAGCATGGTGGATCTGTGATCTGTCCAGTTCGTTTTTTGTTAACGTTTACCAGGTCGGGCAAACCTCCATTTTCCTATGGTTTTCCCATGGTTTTCCTATGGTTTTCCAGTGAATCTACCAACACAACGCAACTTTCCAGTGGTTGCCGGCATTAGGCGATGAAGTTTCAGGAGCTCGTGGACAGCTTGCAGGAGAAGATGAGAAGATGGTGTGGGGAAGATCATTTTTCACGGTCATTTGGGGATATAAATCCCATCCCTAAGATGAAACACCACCTAATAATGGTCACAATTATATATGTGGAAATTCCTTACGCTTCACCAACATCCTACATTCAAAGGCCATGCAACAGGAACCGATTTATTGGAGGTACCGATTCCATAATATATTTTTGACCTATTTTTCAGGCCTATGTAAGGGAAGATCCCCACAATTCATATGGCCTTAAATGATTTCTAGGTCAATCTTAGATGGATACTTTAATCCTGACTAGTCTTTTGGTATCAATGGGAATATCATGGAATATCTACTAACCAGCAAAGAATTTATTTTTTTTGCAGGGTATCTAAGATTGGCAATGATATGAATCCCATCCCTAATATGAAGCACCACCTAAATGGTCACAAGTATGTGAAATTTCCCTATTAAACCATGGTTTCGTTTAGGGGATGTTTAAATGATATGGTGGATCCACAGTATTAAAATGAGATTAAGTCATATTAGATGTTCATCAAAATTGTTGATGAATGGAAGTTTTCTGCATGATATACCTTTTTGTTAATGGATATTCATCGATATCGATATCAATGGATATTCGTGGGGTTCTGAAGCACATGAAACTGGATAGATGACGATGTTCGAACCCTGCGACGTCGCTGTAAACCATGGTTAGGATTAGGGGAATCATCCACATTATGATGAAATACCCTCTGGTAATTTAACATAGCTATGGGAAATCAGAATTTTTAATGGGAAAACCAACTATTTCTATGATTATATTCAATAGCTATATGTTAGTCATTACCAGAGGCTAGATTCTCCGGTGTCCTCAAACGTGGCTGGGAAATCCGGGATCTATTGAGGGTATCCTGTTGAATAATCACCATGAATCACCATTCATCATCACTATTACCCTCTGGTAAACATACAAAAAACTATGGAAAATCACCAAATCACCATTTTTCAATGGGAAAACTCACTATTCGACTGGGCCATGTTCAAGTTCGCAAACTGTTAGTCATTACCAGGGGGTAACCCATTGCCAAAGTGACGAATCCATGGGTGTCATCAACCTGTGGCCAAGAGACACCAACAATCACAGAAGAATCGGAAAGAATTACTCCATGAAAAAAATGGATCAATTTACATTTTTTATTTTGAAACGGAGTTTATTGTTCTATATTGTTGTTTAGTTGCTATTGGCATTTTTGCGTCGACATTTGTGTCATTGAATGACTCTGGTTCAATCTTGAAGCAATTGGCATGGAATGATCTTGGCCTAAACAATCCACTGGTTTCTTTTGGTGGTAATGTTCTGTGGCTGACCATGTTTCCTTCCACTTAGGACATGACCAAATCGTATCGGCAAGGGACACCACAAAATGGGGGCAGGGCAGGGCAGGGCCCAATCTGTAGATTTGGGTGTGGCTGAAAATTGGAAACCAACTATTGGCAATCTTATACACTTTGAATGTCTGAGTTTCTCACCCATCAATTTTGGTTTTCCCTTCAATATTCAGGTACCACATTGTACCAAAGCCAAATTATATTGTTGATTTCTTGGTGATGACATCTGGTGAATGCCTAGATTCTCATGCGATTCAAACCATCCGTTTTTTCGCAACGCCGACAGCCGAAAAGTGTGAAACCAGGATGTTAGTTCGATGGTGGTTTTGCTATTCCATAATCATTCCATTAAATCCCCAGTATATCCAAAAAAAACATATCCATCAGGGATTCTTATATCCATATCTGAGTTTTAATGTAAATCCCCCATATTCATCAGGAATTCCAATAAATATATATATATAAACGCCCTTAGCTCAGCTGAACTCTTTGAGAAGGCGATGAAGAGAGAGAGGTATATATATATATATAGATGGTTTACCTATTAAAAATGGTGGATCTTTCCATGGCTACTGTATGTTAAATAACGAGAGGGTATATATATAAATCATGAGGTTTTATAGCCCAATATGCCCCTCACCGGCTGCATTTTGTTGTTGCTTCAGGAGAAGTCCTGGATCACGTGGCAAGCCAAGGCGAAGAAGTGTCCGCAATGTCACCACGTGCAGCTCGGACCAGGAAGTTTCTGCTGGCCCCTGGGTCCTGGATCCATAGGAAAATGGATGTTTTAATGGGAAAACCATAGGAAAATGGAGGTTTACCCTCTGGGAAACTAACAGTTTGCTATGGACAATCACCATTTTTAATGGGTAAATCCACGACCTAAATCACCATTTTCAATAGCTATATGGGTCTTGGATCCCCAAAACCTATCATTGCTGGAGAGGAAATACACCAATGATAGTAATAGGGAAATCGATTCAGCGAATAGGGTGACTAGTGTTGTTTTTTTCCGGTGGAAATAAAACAAAGCAAGCAATAATAATCATATAAGTATATGGAGAGAGAGCAACCTCCAAACATATGTCAAACAGTGTTTCCAGGTTTGTCTTTGGATGATTTTTTTCACCTAACCTATTTCTAGGTGTGCATTTTTTTGGGCCTCTTTAGGTGGTTACATTGAGCTAAACTACTGGATATTACATGTGGTATGCTTATAATTCATACTGTACATGTCCCCTCATTTTTCAACCAACCGGATTGATTTTGCTTATTTTATGGTTAGTGATCATGGGTTCAGATTCACCCAAAATATGAACCCAAACATATTTGGGGAGCAGGCACATATGGAGTTCATCCCACTATTTCATAAGTGTTCCTCCATGTGTGAGTGAAAACCATATTCAAACCATGGTGAAATGTCCTTATTTAATAAGTAAATCAAGCAGGTTGGCGGAATCCACAGCCAATTTCACAGTGCAGCAACCTTCAAACAGATAAAAAGCAATTGCTCACTTATTTTCATTGGATTTGTCTTTTAAGTTTGTTTTTTTATGCGGGTTGCTGCAATTCATCAATTCATAAGCTTGCACGATCGCTGCCCAGGCTGGAATTTTGGGGAAACGGTCTGGTTCTCAGCTGCTAGGGCTGCTAAGGGCTTGATTTTGCCCATCAAACTTAGGATATCTTGTGTTTTTATTTTTGTTTCCGGAATTCAAGGTTTTTACACATTAAAATGCGATTTGGCCAGCAAGAATTTGATTTCCGGGATTTGTACCAATCAGATCAGGACTTTTCAAAAGAAAAAATGACCAAGGTGGGTCTTGAAAACGCCGTTTCTACCAGGGAACTGATTATGATATATGCTGGCCAAGTTGACAGTGGATACGGGTCGCAAGTGAAGGACCTGAAGCAGCAAAGTAGAATGATGGGAACAATGGTTAGAGAAACGTACCCAAAAAATAGTGTTATATCCATATAGATTTATTCATATAGATTACCATCTGGTTATTCAACATAGACATGGAAAATCACCATTTTTAATAGGTAAACCATCTATAAATGGATCATTTTTCATGGCTATGTTAAATTTCCAGAGGGTATAGATATCAATTTGATTCACTAAGAATCAAGGGAGGTTGGTCAAAGTTCCAGGCTGAACTTTCACATGAACAGCGCTGCAGTTCTATACATAGGTGCTATTCGCCTGGACGACGGCTGGTGCTGCTATGGTCTGCGCAGCAAGAACCAGGCGCGCCGCGCGCCCTCTTGATGAATCCGCCAGGAAAGATTTTGTTGGGAGCTCCGCCAGGAGCAAATCCAAGTTTTTGCATTTGTTTACCCTCTGGTAAACATACAAAAAACTATGGAAATTGCCATAGAAATAGTGGATTTACCCATTAATAGCATGGTGGATTTTTCCATAGTTATGTCAGTACGTTTACCATGCCGGGTAACTTTTTTTTCCAACCAGCGAATTTTCCACACTCCGAGAGGCCAACTGGATGGTTCAGGTTCACGGTGCCTTAGAGGTTTTTTCACCAAAGCAGAACATGGCTTTGCCAAAACTCTGAAGTACAGCGGAAGCTTTTTTGATAAGAACCGATTAAGAATTTTCCAGCCTACCCTGGGGGTTCTTAAGTGCCAGGTTCTTAAACAGTGGTTTCACTGTACCCAAAATTGCTGTTTAAGTTGTTTCTTGCCCAAGCACAAGAATCAGTCTCTGTAGGAAAACGCTGCAACGATGGAGTGATGAAAAATAGAACAACGAGTTCAGCCCTAGTCGTAGTAGTCCTTCCCAAAAAGATAGAGAAAAGTAATTCGTGGCTATTTAAGTGGGATTTCACTTTTCTAGGAACTGGAAGTTCCTATGTCTTCAGTAAGAGTTTTTGAGGCTCTGGATCCTCCATGGCCGAATCGGGGTTGAATCCGCAGAATCCACATTAGACACCCAGATATCCCAATGACCCGTTGGTTATGACTAACAGTTCGCCATGGAAAATCGCCATGGCCCATATATAGAAATAGATGGGCCATACCGTTCTTAATAGCATGGGTGGATCTTTCCATGGCAAACTGTGAATGTCATAACCAGAGGGTATCCATATATAACCCCTATATTGAATGGTAAAAACCATGGTTTTCCATGGCTATGAAGACACTGATTCGTGTCGACATGAAGAAATCCTTCGTGAGGACTCCCGGAACGGCCGATTCTGTAGTCAAGGACCAGGGGCGGACATGGATGTCTGTTGGCGGCAAAGACATCCCCGGTCCTTTCAGGATCCGTCCATCCAACGGAAAGTACCCTCTGGTTACCCTCTGGTAATTTAACATAACTATGAAAAATCACCATTTTTCATGGGAAATTCCACTATAAATGGCCATTTTCAATAGCTATGTTAGTTTACCAGAGGGTATTTAACATAGCCATGGGAAATGGCCCATTTATAGTGCCCACCATGGAGCATATGGGAGAAATAGATAGAAATAGTTCCTCCATAATATCTGGTTGGTGGTTTCAAACCATGGAATTTGGAATTGTCCATTTCATATATGGGATGTCATCCTTCCCATTGACGAATTCCATCATTTTTCAAGATGGGCACAGCCAGCACCACCAGTTTTTCACCATGGCAATTCACCAAGGGGGATGGATTTCCGGACGCTGCAGAGGCGGTTTCAACCACTTTCAAGGAATTCTGGAGGTTCCCATTCACAATGACTATGTTTGGGAACTTACCTGTGGTATCCTGTGGTAATTTAGCAATTCGCGAACTTGAACATTGCCATTTAGTTCGTTGATTTGATTTACCCATTAAAAATGGTGATTTTCCATAGTGAACTGTAAACGTTTACCAGGCCGGGTACATGCTCATGTGAGATCATGGCAGGCGCCGGCGGTTTCACATGTTTTGCATGGCTTCCATCTCGAAATCTGGGCGCTGCGATTGCTTCAATCTGTGGAGCTGACGACCGGGAATCTGCAGCGGCTGGTTTGGTTCGATGTCACCAGCCAACTGTGGATGGTGGTATCCCGGATTGAATTATCTCTATCCGTATCCTCAATTATCCTCGATTATCCTGATCCTGATCCTATCCCATCATCTATGTATGGTCTAGAGATTTTCCTTAATTCTCCTTATCATGATCCATCTATGATGTATGTCTATACCCAGATGCCCAAATGTAGGTAAATATTTCACATTTGGACAATTTTTGGGGTAAATGTTGGTATAAATATTCCATACATGGAGCATATGGGATAAATAGTTCCTCCATAATATGGTCTCTATGTCCATCTCTATCCCCATGAAAACACCCTCGTTTGGCGTAGGACTTCACTGCGTCAGCGGCCAGCACCTGGGACGACAGCGCTACCACTGCACCAAATGTGCTCCTCAGCGCCCTTTTGTGCTGGGTTTTTGGGCGGGATTTCATCGGGAATTCATAGGGATTTCATCCCATATGCTCCATGGTGCTGGAATATTAACCAACATGTACCCCAAAAATTGCCCAAATGTAGGTAAATATTACATGGAGCATCTGGGAATGGTGATTTAACGTGATTGAATTTTCATAGAATTCCATTAGGATGACATGGGACTTGATACTAGGATTTCATCGGATTGATTGGTGTTTTTCCTGGGGATTGAACGAGATTTCAACTTCCTAGTCTTTAAGCTCCCGACATGAGAGATTTGCCACTAACATAGACACTAAGAAACACCCGTGTTCCTATTTGGCGGGGTCTATGTTAGATGGAGGGATCATACTCTTTTAAGAGGAAAACTAATGGACATATAGAACTTAATCAACAAGATCATATTCAGGTGTGTTCGAACATGTGTATTTATGTTGGTGCTTTGACCATAGGGACCTCAGCGGCATGAAGTGGAAATATAATCTAACCAATATCTAATCATTATGATATATTCACAGCCTAAAGATCTTTGCTGTTTTTCTGGGCAATTTTACAATGGAAACCGCTCTAGTCCATACCATTCCAATGGGCTACCAGTGGGGGTTTCCAAGGCTTCCAGAAATATAACAAAAGCAGGATAGGCCGATGGATAGCCAGGTAGATGGCTAGATAGGTGGTTGCAACCTGTCGATCTGTCTTGGGATTTCCACAGCCTCAATTTCGATGGGGTATACCCCAAAGAAAACTCAGAGACCTCAAGGAAGCCAAACAATGGCAGTTTCCAACCGTTACTGTAAGATCATCTTCCCAACCACGGCTTGACACATCCCGGATCTTCACTTCAGCTTCCTACTTTCAAGAGATCCTATTCCAACTTTTGGGGGTATCAATTCCCATGGTTGGACCCATAATAGGAACTGGGTTATACAATGTTATGGAAATCTTATATGTGAATTGTATGTATACCATTATGTCCTCCTAAGAATCAACCATTTACAGACATGTAACTCTCTTAACACACTATCAAAAACCCTCGTTCTTATGGGGATATCATAGGATATATATATATATATAACATGATCAAAAACCCTCATTATTTATAGACATTTACCCTCTGGTTATTTCACATAGCCACGGAAAATGGCCCATAGGCCCATAGAAATAGATGGTTTACCGTTCTTAAAAATGGAGATTTTATGGTGATTTTCCATGGCGAACTGTTAGTCATAACCAGATGGTATATATATATATATCTGGGTAAATTACAGACATTTATAGACATTTATATATCTGGCATTTATACAAAGCCAGCATTTTATAGACATGTTATAGACATTTCTCTGGCTTTGTCCACCATGGGGACAGACCCAACTGATTGGGGCTGTAACTTCCAAGGCCCGGCGCGGGGCTTCTCTGGATCCGCCGCAGGGAGATGTGTGTGGCTTGGGGAAGTTGAGCAGCCGAGATTCCATGGCTATATGGGGGGTTCCACACATGGGGTGTATCATAGGTTTCCTAAAGATCATCCTAAAGATCCTCCTAAATCATCCTAGATTTCCTAAAAAGCCTCCTAAATCATCCTAAATAATCATAGGTTTCCTAAAAATCATCCTAAATCATCCTAAATAATCCTAGGTTTCCTAAAAATCATCCTAAATATCCTCCTACATCATCCTAGGTTTCCTAAAAATCATCCTAAGTCATCCGAAATCCTCCTAAATCATCATAGGTTTCCTCAAAATCCTCCTAGATCATCCGAAATCATCCTAAATCATCATAGGTTTCCTAAAAATCATCCTAAATCATCTTAAATCATCCTAGGTTTCCTAAAAATCCTAAAAATCATCCTAAGTCATCCGAAATCATCCTAAATCATCATAGGTTTCATCAAAAAAATCATCCTATATAACTTGAAGGGTCTCCACAAATGGGGGGTACCCCATAATATATGTTGATCATGGAACATCTTATTTTAGAAAATATGAAAAATGGATGGGAACTGGGGGTAGCCCTATTAACATAGCTATTGAAAATGGCATAGTTTTTTGTACGTTTGGCAGAGGGTAATCAATCAGAATTGGAGATTGACCCAGCAGGCTTTGCCAAAAGAAGTTCAACCAGAAAAGATAGAAATTGTACCAAAAAAATGTTTGGGACTTTGCCACCGTCACGGAATTCCTACCCAATTCGTATCCCCAAGATTTGGAGTTTTTCCACATCAGCCGGCTGCAGGTGGTGTTTGCGCACGTGGAGGGCGTGGTTACTACCTCACCAGCTTTTTAGATAGTCCCACCTTAAACCAGCTACCCATGTGGCGCAGTTTGCCCGTCAAGGCTGGTTGACCAGTGAAGCTATGGATATGGGCTGGTCTGGAATGGTATGATGGCTATAAGTCATAGAGACATAGATTTCAACGTAAGAAATCTCAGTGTAGGGCGATTGACTCACATCCCATCTCAAATCTCGTATCTAAGCGGGATTTACCCTCTGGTTATTTAACATAGCCATGGGAAATAGCCCATTTATAGATGGTTTACCTATTGAAAATGGTGAGTTTTCATGGCGAACTGTTAAATAACCAGATGGCACCCAGCAGTTCGGAATGAAAAGCTAGGGTGCACCCAAGAACCCATTGGTTTCTTGTCATATTTCACCTAATAAATAATGCAGTTCATGGTGGGATAAAATCGATGATTTGTGCTTATTTCATGCCTATTTTCCCAATGGATTCAGGTACCCTCTGGTTATTTAACATAGCCATGGTATAGATGGCCCATAGAAATAGATGATTTTCCCATCTAGAAACCTCCATTTATAAGAGATTTTCATGGCTATGTTAAATAACCAGATGGTATTTGTTTTAACGTTTTCGGGGCTTCCGGATCAGCACAAGTCATGGCTTGCCGCTTCAGACGCTGAAAGAGCTCATCGGCGAGTTGGAACCCACGTTGGCATCTTGACGAGTTGGAACCGATCGAAGGGCAGGGCCCTCTCTCGGACGAAAAAAGATGTCCAGAAAATGAGGATTGAACTGGGGATTTTACCCTCTGGTAAACTAACATAGCTATTGAAAATGGCCATAGAAATAGTGGATTTTCCCGTTAAAAATGGTGATTTTCCATAGTTATGGATGAAAATGGTAATTCAATGTATGGATATTTCATGGGATGAGATGTGATCTGGGGAATTATGAAAGCTTTTAATGATTCGTTGGAAGGAAAAAATACCTACATTACTGGCGATTTCGTTTGGGTAAGGTTGGTGACTGATGCGAATGGACGAATAGGTGAATAGGCGTGGCGTAAACTGTTGCTGATTTGCTTCTTGTCACATTTCACATCTACCGTCATTTGATTGAGCCTCCCGGTGGTTGGCGGTTCCATTGGCATCCTGCATGTCACCATCGTTCTAGCCGAGCCAGGTCAGATGGAATGAGATCAATTCTCCCATTTTCCCAGGCAGAATCTCAATCTTTCATGCTAGAATCCCTAGTTCATTCTGATCGGGTGGCCAAAACCCTCACAAAATCTAGCCATTCCCAGCCTTAAATGTTGCACTTCCATTTTCACAATCGAGTCTCAGACATGTTTTCTTTTGGAGGGGCCGATGTCCTACCCCATTGTCCATCCTCAGCCCTGCATGGAATGATTAAAAAATCGTCACCCTAAGATCGCAGAACTTGACAAACACCTCCCAGGCTTTCAAATCTTTCAAGCCATCGCTTTTAAGGACCTGGCACGTCATTTGGTGAAGCAGGTCTTGAGATATTTGGATCACCTTCGCGATCCGCAGAATGAGGAGAGCTATGGCCGTGTGTGCGGCCTGGCTTGATGCAGTTTCAGCGGGCCGGGGTCAATGGCGATGTATCTGATGTTGTTTGAAAAATTGACAACCAACCCGGTTACCCTCTGGTAATACCAAACTAACATAACTATGGAAAATCACCATGTTTAATGGGAAAACTCACTATCAATGGCCATTTTCAATAGCTATTTTGACATAACCAGAGGGTACTGATCAAAGATGGAGATTTGGATCGAGAATCATGGGACTATATGGGACCTGTTCCTGACTTCACCTGAGCTGCTGGTGGTTCATGATGCTTCACCCGCCCAAAGATCAGGGCGAGTTGAAGCCTGGATAAGCCTGGCAATGGCATTTTTTCGGCACAAGCCATTGATAGTGGCAGCCTCCAACGGTCCCAAGCTGGTCCTTGAACATTCCCCGTGTTGTCAAGTTTTGTTCAAACAAAATGGTGTTTCTTAAATGTGGGGGTGAGGGAAAAACACCACGCAGTAGTGAGTTTCAACATGAAGTTCACTGGTCTTGCGGAACTCCCTAATACTATTTTAAGATATTTTAAGAACCCTCAAATTTGGATCCCTAATGATGCCTAATTAATGCCTTTTTGGAATTACCTGAGCTTATCAGGCTTATCATCATTTATCATTATTTATCATCATACGTTATCATATATCATCGTCTATCATGACTTATGCTCGTGTATCATCATTTATCATTAGTTATCATCATTTATGATCATTGATGATCAATTATGATCAGTTATCAGTATGAATCATCCATGTATCATTCATCATCATTTATTTGTGTTTTATTCTGTTAAAATGTGTTCTTCCCGGGATCAACATTTACGATCCTACCTGGGGTCCGCAGCCAGGTGCTGTGTGCATATCTTCCAGCGGGGCCTTGTACGTGTGGCTGCCCAGGTCCAAACTTCGGCTTCGGAATCCAATCGCTTGGGATTTAGAGAAACGCCGTTCATATCTAGTTCCCCCAAAAAAGATGCCCAACAATGTTTCCAGGATGGTAGTTCGAAGAATTAGTTACCTCATGTTTGCAAATGTCTAACTTGTCTATTTATTTGGGGTTGCTATACCTGCGGAACGAGATACTTTGAGATACTTTTAGATGCACTGACCAATGCAGTTGTTTAATGTTGTTTGTGCAAATGTGTATTGGTGCACATGAAGAAAGATAAGCAGATAGTTAGAGTTAGAGATACAGTATTACATACTGGTTGGTTTTCAGAGGGGTAGGTATACCACCAACCAGCATAGATCATTTTTTTCAACATATGAAACTTCAATTGGTCAAGCGGTGATCCGCTTTCCTATGCTTTCAACGCCCTAAGCCGCGCCGCTCTACTCAGCGACTGATCTGTCGAGTTTTGTCACCTGGATTTGCGGCATTCGTTCTGTTGAGAATCAAGAGCTAAAATATACTAATCATTGGATTGGTTTAAGGGAAATCTACCGGAAACCATGGTAGTTTTTACCATTAAATATGGGGGGTTCCGGTTCCAATTTTCCCTTAAACCAAGCCAGTGAACTAAAATTCATCCAAACATACCCTCTAGTTATTTAACATAGCCATGGTATAGATGGCCCATAGAAATAGATGGTTTACTGTTCTTAAAAATGGTGGATCTTTCCATGGCTATGTTATATAACCATATGTATCTCAAACAAAATCCAAATATCCTCCAAGAATATTCTCAAACAATCTCAAACATATCTAACTTATCTATTATTTATCTATGAACATCTACCGTAAAAACCAACAATAAAACCATGGAAGATGTAGAACCACAGTTGTTCCATAGCAAGAGCTGAAGCGCGGAACACCGAGGCTCTGAGATGTCTTATGGGCGATTCTTTCCTCAGCCTGTTGCAGCTTGAATGGCATTGAACCAGCCATCAGTGGGAATATCATGAGAATCTCATGGGAATATCGTGGATTCCCATCAATTTCATGACTTCATCAACAACAGGATGTCGATTTTTCAGCAAAAGACGACGGTCGCAGACGGTCGCATGTCTCACCAGCAAAGTACTCGTAGAGGAACCATCAAGATGATACCATTGGATAACCATCAAGCAATCCCTGTTTACGGGGGGATGTACCAAGAAAATGGGAACCTGTTTGCTATTTAAACAATTCTAAACATTAGGATCATTAGGATTTACCATGTTGTAAAGCAAACCGTTCGAATCCCAGTAACAACTTATTCTACACTCCGGTTTTCAAGCATGTCAATGACAATCCTCATTGATGTCGATGATTGTCCCGGCAAAAAAAATATCCATTCTGCCGTGGGTTTCCATGGCTGCCGGCTGATGGCTGGAGTGTAATCATTGTGGATTGTAAATTCTGATTGCTGTCCTTGTGTCCTTGCGGCAGAGCTCAATCGCACAATAAGATTGGCACACGTCATGTATTCAGCTACCACTAGCTAGTTCGGTAGTGAACTGCCCAAACTCAGAAGGGTTTTGGAAAACTGTGCCATACTGATGGGGATTCGCCACTTTCCATACTGATGGGGTTTCACCACTTTCCAGCCCATCCCAAGACAACGGAAATCGTGTCCAACCCGAGGTTTGGGGCATTGAAATTGGCGATTCTTCTGGCGACTTTGGCTAAAGGGATTTGAAGAAAAGGTTGGCCTGTTAGGTGCACGATTGGTTCGCCTTATTTTTTGGCTAGTGTTGGTGGAATATGTAATGATAATATATACCCTTTGGTTATTTAACATAGCCATGGAAAATCACCATTTTTAATAGGTAAACCATCTATAAATGGACCATTTTCCATGGCTATGTTAAATAACCGGACGGTAGATATAATTGCACGTATAATAATAATAGCAATAATAAAAGTAATAATAGTAATAATAATCATGGTAACAAAATTGTTATTTCGTAATTCATGTCCCACCAAGTCACTAAAGACAATTTATATCCCAATCGGTACGCAAGCTTAGCCAATGAAGAGTGAATGAGGGGCCTTCTTCCTCAGTCTATACCACTTGTTTACACACATTTCCCGGAAATGAGTTCGCACAATTTCCAGTTTTATCCACTTGTGAATATCTGTTTGACATGACATGATACATCTGTTTGCGTCCATATGATCTAGTGTGTATAAGTCTTTGCATTTGAATGTAGATATGTACATATAAGTAGCATATGAAATTATATAATAAATAAATATGTAAGTCTACACACACACATATATATATATATTATACAAATATAGGTATACAAACATATATCTGGGTAAATTATAACGACCTCACTGTTCTCCCGAACCCTGGAATCATAGTTTTTATAGGGGAATCATCCCAAAAGGGCCCAACATTTCAGGTTTGTGAAATATTATAATTTGCCCAGATACCCTCTGATAATTTAACATAGCTATTGAAAATGGTGATAGAAATAGTGGATTTTCCCATTGAAAATGGTGGATCTTTCCATAGCTATGTTAGTTTACCAGAGGGTATATGCCACGGATGTCAAATTCGAAGCACGGATTTCCCAAGATCCAGGTGGGCACCGGCGCGTTCCTTCTCTTCACGGGGCCCATCCGGCGCCTACGCCGCTCGGCGGATTCGTATGGTGTCCCTTTTTTGGTGCCCAGTGATGATTCCAACATGTTCCAAGATTCGTTCTGTTTAGTGGCGCTGGTTACCCTCTGGTAATTTAACGTAGCTATTGAAAAGGCAATTTTTAATGGGTAAATCCACTATAAATGGCCATTTTCAATAGCTATGTTAAATTACCAGAGGGTAAGATACCCTCTGGTTATGTCAAAAGAATTCAAAAGAGCTATTGAACATAGCCATAGAATCCATAGAAAGTTGATTTAAGTCCATTTTCGGATGAATTACTGATTGGTGCTTTGGAACATGAATGGATGTTTTCCATCATATATGGGATAATCCTTCCCAACTGACAAACTCATATTTTTCAAGATGGTTAAAGCCACCAACCAGTGTTGGTTAAGATACCCTCTGGTAGTGACTAACAGTTTGCTACTGAAAATGGCCCAGTCGAAATAGTTGATTTGCCCATCAATAGCATGGTGATTTTCCATAGCGAACTGTTAATTTACCAGAGGGTACCCCTGATAAACTTTAAACCCTTACAGATCGAAAAAAGAGCGAAAATCCGCTCCGGTAATTCGCATTGGCTATTGGAAATCACACTATGGACAATGGTCATCAATTTTCCATAGCAAACTGTTGAATTACCAGAGGATATCTCATTTTCAAATCCCATCGAATCACCATTGTTGTTGGCCAAATTCCATTAAAATCCCATATAACACACCATTGTTGTTAGTTCAATTCCACTCATTCTTACTTAAACCGCAGCTTTTGAATCTGGTTGATGCTTTAAGCTATATAAAACTTATAAAACCCATTAAATCACCATTTTTGTTTGTTAAATCCCATGTACATCCCATGAAAGATCACCATCCATCCATCCAAGCGCGTTGCCCGAAACAAGGCACCGCCTACAACGCCTCGCGCTTGCTGGCGCGTTGCCATCGCTGGCGCCTGCGTGGCGGCTGTCAACGCTGGAAGTTCTTCCGACCCAGTGAGGCTGGCCGAGTTTGGATGCTGGGTGGGTGACCAAATTGGCAAACCATGGAATTTTCGGATGAATTAAAGGTGATGAAACTACATTAAATCAGCAAAGTTGGGGATTCATCATGATTTGAATTAACTGGTTAGTGGTTTCAAACATGTAAGTTATTTTTCCATCATATATGGGAGAATCCTTCCCATTGACTCATATGACTCATATGTTTCAAGATGGTTAAAACCACCAACCAGATTAGGCAGCTGCATCAAAATCCGCAAAATTCATCGGATTCAATGGATATCATTTTGCAGCAGGGAGAATCAAACAATGCAAGCGGGGAAATCCACTAGAAATTGAGGTTTTTTTGGCTGGGAGAATTTACTACAAATGGGAGATGTTTCATTGCCACGTTTGATTGCCGGAGAGTGATAAAATTGGTGATTTATCATTTACTAAAGTAGGGTATCATGCTTAATTAACGTCACCAATGATTAATCTGGATTGATTAACTTATCATGGGTGATTTAGCCAACCCAAAAAAAAAAAACGACTTAACCTGGATGAAGAAATTGGCGAACGGGAATCACCCCCAAATGTCAATTGGTGGTTAGTGGTTTATTATCATTAAAAACAACAACATGGCTATGGAAGCCATGGCTCATTTAGTTCGATGATTTACCTATCAAACATGGTGATTGTCCATTGCTATGTTTGGTTTATTGAGGATATCATGTGGTAACATGTCATCATTTTATTGCACTGAACCATTCAGGTGGTTGGTTCAACATTCCGAGTATATCAGGCATTATCCATTTGTAATTATCACACAAAGTGGTCATTTGATAGAACCGGTTGCTTGGTTGGTTGGTTGGTTGGTACTCAAATACATGGGTCAAAAACAAATTATGATTTCTATGGATGGATTGGTCGGAAAATCTGCAGGAAACCAGAAATTTTCTCCATGAAATCTGGGAGGGTCCTATAGATTTTCCCTTAAAGCTGGGCAGGTTTGCTCGCAGGGCGTCCACCATCCATGGAACAAAAAATGTCAGCTGATTCTGTTAGTCTACTGCTATAGCTACAGTATGTGAAGTGTCATGTTTTTTCTATTGCTGGCTGCCTATATCATGTTCTTCATTGGTCAAAATCTCCTGTTGAAGATACATTTGTCTTTTGAAAAAAGGGTGTATCTTGATATATACTTGTTTAAAACCTTTTTAATTTAAGAAATCTTAATTTATGGATGTATACTGAAGACAGTCACCAGGGTTACAGCCATTTGAGTTTCGCATTTAAAAAAATGCACCCAATGACCGCCATACCCTCCACGCCATTTATAGGGACCTCCTTGCTGATGGGACGGACCTTTATTCCCACAATCTTCCCATACGAAATACCCTCTGGTAAATTAACATAACTATGGAAAATCATAATTTTTAATGGGTAAATCAACTATAAATGGCCATTTTCCAGTTCGCTGTTTGTATGTTTACCAGGCCGGGTAGGGCTTTCTGGGGCTCCCATCAGCCAGGGGAGTCCCAACAAAAATTCCACAGTCTCCCTGTCGACCGAACTCGGATCGATCAGGGCCAACCGCAACGGCTCAACGTTCGAGTCGATTCGCTCGACACCCTTGAAGATGCCAGTACAGCTCTGTTTCCCTTGAGTCCCTATGGAAGGGGCTGAGGGGCTGGCCTTTTTTGCGCCCAAAAAAGGATTTGCATTGCTGAAAATTAGAAAAAGGTTATAAGGAGTTTTTTGCAACTTACTAGTGCGGGAATAGTGGTGATTGATGGGGTTTGACTCCATATTTAACCAAGAAAAATGGCAATGAAATGGGAATATCAATGGCATTATACTGGAATATCAATGGCATTATAATGGGATGTATGATATAATGCAATAATACTGGTTGATACTCTCTGGTGTCATCAAACATGATAAACATGGCTGGGAAATCCCCGAACTAAATGGGCATCTACATACGGAAATGCATCGAAGCAAATGGGTGATTTTCCAGCAAGCCATGCTCGATTTCCAGGGGATATCAATGATATAGTTCACAAAGGGAGTTAGCCCAAAAAGTTGACTTATTTCCAGTGGAAGTACAGTAGTATGATTTGGCACCGCTTTTCACATTTTGTATGCATAAACATGGTATAACATCACCGGTTAGATGCAATTCCTGGAATTGTCTTGGTGGTGAAACGTCGCTTTTCCAATGGTGCTTGGGCGAATCGGGAGTGCAGCATCATGTATTTCATGGTAGTTAGATATTGGTGAGCGTCCTAAACGAACATGGCCATGGAGAATTGCACATTTGTAGATGGCTTACCTATTAAAGATGGTGATGTACATAGCTCTATGTCACATGACTCGATGGCACTCGATGGTAGCTATTTTCAACAAAATATGCTATGAATCTTCAGGGAAAATATGAGGCGAGGGGGTTCAGTAGCTCTGGCCAGCATGGACTTGGATCCTTTGGAAAGAATGCTGGAGCGAACCCCCCGGAAAAAAGATGGAAATACATTATAAAACAAACCCGTATGTGATATGTTGTTTATCGAAAGCGTGTGTGCATGTCCACGTTGGTCTCTGTGAACATCGTTGTTTATGTGGCTGTTGCAGGGTTCCCCCTAAAAAGTTTGGACTTCTCCATCCTTTTTTGTGGAACCCTTTCGCAAAATTCCTCAGTCAGTTGCTTTCTGCAACATTGCAGGACCTACCCCAGATGTAAGGCCAAACAACATTTACCCTCTGGTTATGACTAAGATAGCCATGGTATAGATGGCCCATAGAAAAAGATGGTTTACCGTTCTTAAAAATGGTGGATCTTTCCATGGCAAACTGTTAGTCATAACCAGATGGTAAAAATGAAAAGCACACGTCCAGCTCCCCTGGTGTCCGCTGTTCAGCGGGGACCCTTCCGAAGGAAGGGGCCCGCTTTTGTCGTCAGCGGCACGGCGTGAGTTGTGTTCTTCGGCCGACGGCCGTTGGTGAAGTTTTGGCCCGGACTGGCAGGTGGAGCCCTATGGAATAGACGAAGCCGGACAGCTTAGAAAATGGAAAAACCATACCGCACTGAACCTGTCCATAGCATCTATTTTTATATTATGGTAGTGTACAGCATCCTACCCTTGAATCAAGGGGGATGATGTAAATCATATCCCAATTTGGGGGTATGTAATGTATATGCAATTGGAAATTAGATGTTGTGGGTTCTGAATTCATTGGGGTTGGGATTCAGTAGCGTTCAATTTCATTGAAGGATTACTGGTTGGGTTTGGAACATTTTTTATTTTTCCATATATATATTGGGAAGAATAATCCCAACTGACGAACTCATATTTTTCAGAGGGGTAGGTCAACCACCAACCAGATTATCATTGAACAACCATTCTGAGATATTCTGAGTAAAATCAGAATGAGGAATCCCAGGCTGGCGAATAGTGTGAAGCCGTGCTTGGGTTACAACAAATGGCCGGGCCATGGGCCACAGCCTCATTGGAGGCGTGGAAGCAGATGCAAAAGCTGATGGAAAGTTGATGAGCTGAGATACCGTATGTAAAATGATGGGCTACCCTGCGGTCATGTAACATCCAGCTATGGAAAATGGTGCATTTCTTCATTGTTTGCCTCTTAAAAGGTGGTAGAGAGTGGATGATGCTTCAGTGATGTTTCTACCAACTGGGTTGGTCAGTGTTATTGCCACATGCCAGACGCCAGGGCCAGGGGTGTTGCAAAGGCAACTGCTCGTGATTGATCTATGGATTCTATAGATTTTACAGTATATAGCTCTATGATCTGGTCTGTGGCACCGTCGCACTAGGGACGCATGCGCTGCAAAGAAAGTGGGTAACCTCATTGGAAGATCCTCAAATTTCAAGAGGCTGGTTGGCATTAATTTTATGACTTTCCATATTAATTGGGAATGTCATGATCCCAATTGACTCATATTTTTCAGAGGGGTAGGGCTCAACCACCAACCAGGGCACTAGCCAAGACTGGAATCCCATTGCGAGAGAAAGTGCAGACCAGTACGCCAGATGTCCCAGTTCACGCGGCCCGAGGCTATTGAGAAAAGGAGGACAGGTCACATGCGACTCTTGCGACTAAGTCACCAGGGTTTGGTAAATGTGACCCATGAATGATTTGTTTCACATCACTTGAAGAAGGTATCTGTTGGAGATTACATCCCCAATATTTTTTAGTGATGTGAAAAATTAGGACATAGAAACTTGCAATGGGACGACCTTCCCACGGCCCCGCCGGTGTCCTGGATTGAGCTTGTGGCTGATGCCCAAAAATCAAGCAACGTGGAAACTGCAGCAACTGAAAATTCGACCCAGAGGGACCCAGAAATTGCCAGATGTTTCATGATGTTTCCATGAATTTTAGGGAGTCGAGGGTCAGATGAGGATGTTGGTTAGAAGATGTTAGAAGCACGTAGATCCAACTCCAATGATCAGGCGCTGTCACGCACTGCTGAAGGGAAATTATTACAATAATGCCTGACCACACACACCCCAAACAAATGAGGAAGAAAGAAGCCTATGAAATGGGACTGTTGCATCTTGCGTCTTGTGACACATGATTTCCATATGATTACTATAATTCCCCTCTGGTCAGTTAACGTAGCGAACTGGAAAATCACCATGTTTAATAGGTAAATGCATGTAAATACTCATATATAATCTATAAATAATCTGTAAATAATCTATAAATGGGTCATTTTCCATAGTTATCTTAAATAAGCGGAGGGTATATTGTTTTCTTTAAAGCTCTAGACCTCAGCCAAGTTCGTCACCCTTTGTCCGCGCGCCATGCGTCCCGGAGTGTCCAGATGTTTTCGCGGGGGTCCCAGGTTTTCTGAAGATTCTGAAGTCAGTGCTGGGCGAAGCAATGACCAAAAGACAGACAAGTTATTTGCCACATGTTGCTACTATGATGGTGGGATTTGAATTTCTACCTTTTCTTCAGTTGCTTTTTGTTGCATCCTTTTCTTATGTGATAATGGAGCAATTGATCGGCATATGTTTGGGTCAGGGGGTGACTCAATCACAGTCAAGGGGACAACAAATTTGCAAGGGCGTCAGCATGCCCAGAATCTTGGTTGTTTCAGGCTGTTTTGGGTAGGGTTAGGTCAAGCAATGCTTCCCAAACAACGGCAGGCATACTGGTTACTGGGATGCAGATCCAACAACGGAGCTATGCGACTGGATAGAATTTGCTGGCAAACTATGGTTCATGGCTTTTGGTAGATATATGGTAGATATATGATATTAAATATATATATATAATATAGTTAATGGATGTGAATGGGGTTTTATAAACCAACTGATTCATGTCAATCCTGGATTAATAAAACAACGTCTATTAATTATGGGGGTACCCTCCAAATAGTGATGATCTGATACTTAAATGGCCCCCAAGGGGGTTATCAAAGGCTAAGCCAGGGGCAATGGAATATTCCTGCCCCAAGTGAAGTTCAAAAATGACGAGCTCAAGAATAGGTAGGAAGGGGCACGGTTTTGCGATGATTATGGCATTGTTTATAGGGGAATATCCTTTTTTCTAATCAAACATGGCTGGAAGATCCCTGATGAATGTAGGTTTCTAATGGGAAATTCCATTCAGAGATGGATTAATGGAGGATTCCTCATTCTCATTTAATGGTTTTTTTCTCTGGTAATCAAACATCGCTGAAGATTCTCCAGCAAGCCATGTTTGATAGGAAGGGACTCCTTTCTTCAACGTCATCTTTCTCTGAAAGATGATCATGATGAATAGCCCAATGGGTGTGACTTCTTTTAACCACCATAATGCTTACCTAATTCTCAGTACTTACCTCCCATTGTTACATTATATAAGCTATCCATTATCATCCATTATCATTCATGTTTCTTGCCATTGATTTTTTAAGCTTGGCTCATCCACATCGTTAAGCCATTCGAGACATCACCATATGTCCAAAATGCTTGGAAGTGCCTGTCCAGTGAACTAAATTTATATCCCAAGTTTAGGATATCCATTAACCATAGCCATAGCCATAGTTATATATAGTTATGCTATCCCTAAATAACATTATGTAACCATAGTAAGTTGGGCTTTTTTTTCCAACGGTGCTTGAATCCACCAACTGCCAGGTGTTTCAATGGACTGTTGGGACCCGAGGTGCCAATTGTGGAGTCTCAGTGGAGTGTGGTGACTAGGTGGGTTGCATTTTTTTACCCAGAAAGCTGCAGCAAAAATGGTGATTTTTCAATGAAAAATGCAACCTTGACTATGACTAGCTATGTCTTGAAAAATGGCATTTCAATGCATTTCAACGAAAAATGATGATTTTTGTGAATGGGTTTTAGAGTGGATTTCACCAAACAGTTTGACTGGGGGTTTTATGGGAGAAACTACCAACAAGTGTCAAGTGTGGTTTAAAAGGATATATAGTTGTATATGATTGATTTATTGGGAATTATATATATATTTATATGCACACTTCAGTAAACGAACCACATTGACATTTAGGTATTGTATTTAGCAAGAATATGGGTTCAACCATCAAACATATAGGTCGGTATAATGAAGAATTAATTGAAAACTAATGGGAAATAATGGGTTTATCCGGTAAACTAATCTAGCTATGGACAATGACCATTGGTTTCGATGATTTGCCTCTTAATAGCATTGTGATTTTCCATAGGCTATGTTGAATTACCACAGCGTA